CCGTGGGCTCGTCTCTCGCCGGGTTGGCCCGGCACCTCCGTAGGTGGTGGCCATGGTGGCGGCCTGCGCAGCTTGGTGTCTACCGGCAGCTCCGTTGGTGTGACCTGCCAGTACCAGCTTCAGACCGGGCCTCTCCACGGCACTCTGTGCCGCCGCCCACACCCGACCGCCCGCTGTTTCCGCCGCCTCGACGATCTCCTCCGTCGTCGCTTTGGCCCGGCCCCGGACCTCCCCGACTGGCACAGCCTGCTTCGCCAGGGCGCGCCGATCTTTGAGTTAGATATGGATCAGATAGGTGCTGCTTTGCATGCCTTGTATGCTGACGCTTCTAGTGTTGCTGGATCTTATTATCCTGTGTACTCTAGTTTAGGTGTAGCACCCTTGTGTAGCTTAGCCTCCCCTGCTGCGTCAGGCGTAGGACTGCCTAGGTTGCCTAGCCTCATTCCAGCACCGGCCCCGTTCCCGACCTCTGCTACAACCTCGCTGTCCTTCACTCTCGACTCCGGTGCTTCTGCCTGTTTCTTCCGCGACCGCTCCACGCTCACGCTGCTTGTTGCGCCTACTGTTGTCGCTCTCGCTGACCCCACTGCGGGTCCTGTCGTCGCTCGCAGCTCCACGTTCCTTCCCTGTCCAGCCGTTCCCTCGAGCTCCCTTACAGGCCTCCACGTTCCCTCGTTCTCCAGGAACCTAGTTGGTGTCGGCTGTCTTCAGGGCCTCGGCGTCACCACTACGTTCCCTGGGCACGAGCGGTTCGCTGTCTGTACCGAGGCAGTCTCAGGTTCCCCCCTTGCGACGTTCCCCCGGGACCCGGTGTCCGGTCTGTTTACCCTCCCCCCTGGTTGGTGGGTCCTCCCAGGTCACTGCAGCTTGCTCGTGTCGGTCCCTCACTCACCCGTCCCTTTTGTGGCACCACCGCTTAGGTCACCCTGCTCTCCCGCGTCTGCGTCACATGTCCCAGCACGGTCTTGTCTTAGGCCTCCCCGCGTCGCTCCCCGCCCTTCCCCCCTCGACTGCTCCACCGTGCACGCCTTGCGTCGAGGGCCGGCTCCGCCGTGCCCCTCACTCCTCCTTGCTTTGCCCTGCTACTGCTCCCCTTCAGACCCTGCACCTGGACGTTTGGGGCCCAGCCCCCATCCCCGGACCGCGAGGTGAGCACTACTTTCTTGTGCTTGTCGACGACTACACGCGCTACACCACGGTGTTTCCCCTGGAGCAGAAGGCCGACGTGCCCGACGTTCTTCTCCCGTGGGTTGTGGCTGCGCGTTTTCACCGCGGTCTCCCTGTGTTGTGTCTCCACTCTGACCGTGGCAGCGAGTTCGCCTCTGGTCGGCCTGGCCAGTTCTGTCGTGCGGAGGGCATCACCCAGTCGTACACCTTGCCGGACTCGCCACAGCAGAATGGGGTTGCTGAGCACCGCATCGGCTTGGTCATGGAGGTTGCTCGTACCTCCATGATTCATGCCGATGCCCCCCATTTTCTGTGGCCGTTCGCTGTTTGTTACGCTGCTCACCAGCTTAACTTGTGGCCACACTCCCAGCGGCCGCAGGTTTCGCCGACCCTCCTTTGGACTGGGTCCCCGGTGACGCGTCTGCGTTCCACGTCTGGGGTTGCCTTGCTCACGTTCATGCCTCTGGCACGGACAAGCTCACTGCTCGCACTATCCCGTGTGTCTTCCTCGGTTTCCCCCTGGACTCGCCTGACTGGCTCTTCTACCACCCGCCGTCTCACCGCTTCCTTCACTCTCGTGACGTCACCTTTGATGAGTCTGTCTCCTTCTACCGTCGCCTCCCGGTTTCCCCCCCCTGTTCCTTGCTCCCTCTCCCCCGGTAGCCCCTGCTCCCCTCCCGCCTCGTCCTGCCCCGTCTGGTGTCTCGCATGTCACTCCCCTCCCGTCGGTTGTCCCCGTTGAGGAGTCTGCTGACTCTGGTGGTCCCCCCGGCCCGTCCTTGCCGCGTCTCCCTTCCCCGGTGTCTCCGCCTCCGCTGTCGCAGTCGCCGCCGCCGTCGCAGCCGCCGCCGCCGCCGCCGCCACCGCCGCCGCCGCCGCCGACGCCGCCGCCACGGCCGCTCTTGGCCTCTGGGGGTGCTGGCGTTGAGGAGAGTGTTCGTCCTGCGGCTCCTGGCGTGGTCTGTCTCGGCGGGCCTGAGGGTGCCGCTGGTGCTAGAGGGGGTTCTCGCTCTGGGGGTGTTGGTTCTGGGGGTGCTGCTGTTGAGTGTTCTCCCAGCAGCCGTCGTGCCCCTGCCGGTCCGCGGGTCGAGACCCAGCCGTCGCAGCAGCCGCCGCAGCCGTCGCCGCCGGTCTCCGCTCTTCGCCTGCTCGGCCTTCCCTCCCATGACCGCTCGCCGGTGTCTCCCCCACCACCTTCTCACCTCCCTATCTACGGCGCTGTGTTCCCGCCCCCGGACTCTTCTCCGGCCCGTCTTCCTCCTCGTTCCCCTTTTGTGTCCCCTCCGCTGTCTCCTGACCCTACACCTCCGTCCCACGTTTGGTCTCGCCGTCCCTCACGTGCTCGTCCCATCTCCCCTGTCCTGCGCTCCCACCCTATGTTGCTCCGTTCTCACTTGTCTCATCCTCCCTTCCTCCCCTCGCCTCCTCCCTCATCGCTTGTTGTTGCACCTCCCCCGCTGTCTGACTACCTCCGTGCCGCTCGTCCCCTTGTCCCTCGGGTCCTTGCCTCTCTTGTTACAGACCCGTCTGTTCTTGTCTCGCGCCTTGACGCGCTTGTCGCTGGCTTCGCCACTACCCGCCGCCTTGACTACGCTACCGCTCTGGTCTCTGACCCTGCCCGTCCTCCGTTGGTCGGGGGTGCACCTGCCCTTGGAAGTGACGTTCTAGAGGACAGGCAGCACGAGCTTGCTTTCCTTTCCGAGGCCGCTCCCCATCTCTGCTCCATGCTCCTAGTCCCAGAGGGTGACCCAGACGCCTTCGACATCCCGACCCCTCGCACCTACGCTAAGGTCACCTCGGGACCCTGGGCCTCTCAGTGGATAGCTGCCATGGATCAGGAGATGGCATCTTGGAGGTCCACCGGCACTTACGTCGACGCAGTTCCCCCTCCTGGGGTGAACGTAGTCGATGGTCGGTGGCTCTTCAAGGTGAAGCGCCCCCCTGGAGAGCCGCCTGTCTTCAAGGCGCGCTACGTGGCTAGAGGCTTCAGCCAGCGCAAGGGGGTGGACTTCTTCCAGACCTTCGCCCCGACCCCGAAGATGACTACTCTTCGGGCACTGCTACACATAGCAGCACTGCGCGACTACGAGCTTCACTCCCTCGACTTCTCTACTGCCTTTCTTCAGGGCAGCCTACATGAGCAGGTCTACCTGCGCCGACCACAGGGCTTCACTGGTACCTTCCCCCCTGGGACTCAGTGACTTCTCAGGCGCCCGGTCTATGGCCTGCGCCAGGCTCCCCGCGAGTGGCACGACACTCTGCGTGCCACGCTAGCAGACCTGCAGTTCTTTCTGTCCTCGGCTGACCCCTCACTTTTTGTGCGTTCCGGCCAGACTCCGTTCTACATCCTTGTCTACGTAAACGACCTGGTCTTCGCTACTGCTGACAGGGACGCACTGGCCTCCGTGAAGGCAGAGCTACTGAAGAGACACACCTGCACTGACCTTGGAGAGCTGCGTCGCTACCTTGGCCTGCAGATCTCCAGGGACAGAGCAGCACGCACCATCACTCTGACACAGTCACACTTGGTGCGTCAGGTCCTTCAGAGGTTTGGTCTTCAGTTCTCCTCCGCACAGCCCACACCTCTACCAGTAGACCATGGGCTCTCCGCTCCTGTTCCTGAGGAGCCAATAGAGCCCAGCGGCCCCTACGCAGAGCTGGTGGGTTGCCTCAAGTACCTGATGACTTGCACTTGGTGCGTCAGGTCCTTCGTCAGGTCCTGATGACTTGCACTCATCTCGCATACCCTCTCAGCATCCTGGCTCGCTTTGTGGCCACCGGCAGACACCGACCACAGCACTGGTCGGCCGCTAAGAGGGTATTGCGATATCTAGCAAGTACATCGGGCATGGGGTTAGTGCTCGGAGGACGCAGGCCAGTGGTTCTCACCGGGCACACAGACGCTTCTTGGGCAGACGACTCTGAGACTCTCAGGTCGTCTCATGGCTACTGTTTTAGCCTTGGTTCGGGTGCTATCTCTTGGAGATCTACTCGCTCATCGTCTGTTACTCAGTCCAGCTGTGAGGCTGAGATCTACGCCGGTGCCATGGCGGCACAGGAGCTCCGCTGGCTTACCTTCTTGCTCACAGACGTAGGTGAGCGGCCTAGCTCTACCCCGGTCCATGATTCTCCTGTGTCAGGGGCCTCGGCTTGAGGGCAGAGCGAAGCATATCCAGCTGCGGTACTTCCTCCTGTGCGAGCTACAGCAGCGTCGCCAGGCCCGCGTAGTTCACTTGGCCTCCGATGCCAACACAGCTGATATATTTACGAAGGCGCTTGCGCCTAAAGATCATCAGCGGCACTGTTTGCAGCTTGGTCTTGTTCCTGTAGCTACTCACTTGTTAGGATCCCGATTGTGTATTCTCTACTATATATACCTGTCTGACTGGCCTTGTGGCCTTGCCTCCAGTGGCTGGACTAGTAGTGCCGCCCTGGTTTGCTTTAGTCTTGTTTGTACTCTTGCTGACTGGTCTCCGGACCCCTGCCTCAGTGGTTGGACTAGTAGTGCCACCCTGAGCTGTGTGCTTCTTGCTTAGCACCACCCCTTCTCTAGCCTAGGGGGTGTGTCAACTTATACATATGCTGTATGTAGAAGGTATAGGCTAGCCTAGGTGTGTGCTTCTAGTGAGTACAACCCAACAGGTATATGTTCTAGGTTTCTCACACTAGTCAAATCATTCTTGCATTCTAACAGGTTTCCCCGTTGCTGAGTTTTTTCCATGCTCATTATTTTTGCATGGCTACCTAGAGCATAGGCTCAAGAACTTGCAATCCAATTAGGGTATCATATCCAAAGTCCATGCGGTATGGTGTTTCAATTGTTCCCCTTCATCCAAGTACTTGACGTTGCCATCAATTCTTGGTAAAAAGCCTTAGGGTGTATTCCTACGGCATGGTGTTCAGTACCAGAAAGGAAAAATGGGTTTCTGAACACCGTGATCGACAAAATTTACCGAGTCCAGTCCAGTACCAACAACACCAACCTGCATGTTCGCACACAAGCCCAGTAATTGGCTGTGTGGTACAGTCACATTCGCAAACAGAACCACACGCGTCGCATGCATGCCGCGTGTCACTCCGTTTCGCACGTTTGGCTGCCGTGCCCACGCTTGCGAACCACGCTTTCCTGGTACTGAACACCGTCCTGTAAATCGGCAAATACAGCATGGTGTTCAAGTACGGGATTCCCCATTCTGGTACTGAACACTAAAGCGTAGGAATACGCTCTTACTAGCATGAGCAGCCATTACATGATACAGGTCCTATGCCTAGCAACAGACGGCACAAGGCAGCAACAGGAAGTAGCAGTGCTTAAAGTGCTTGCAGTAGCAACTTTCCAACAAGATTTCAGGGAGCAGTGGGGGCAGCTGGTGCTGTGGCGCCACGGCGACGAGAAGTTGGTACAGACGGCAAAGCCTCAAGGAAGAACTTGACCAAATCATCCAGATTCACCTCCTCCTCTGACTTCACATCCAATTGTCGCACCTGATGTATGTATGGGCATGCACAGGGAGGGAATGTATGGACATGTCTCTGTATGGACATGTCTCTGTATGGACATGTCTCTGTATGGACATGTCTCTGTATGGACATGTCTCTGTATGGACATGTCTCTGTATGGACATGTCTCTGTATGGGCATGTCTCTGTATGGACATGTCTCTGTATGGACATGTCTCTGTATGGACATGTCTCTGTATGGACATGTCTCTGTATGGACATGTCTCTGTATGGACATGTCTCTGTATGGACATGTCTCTGTATGGACATGTCTCTGTATGGACATGTCTCTGTATGGACATGTCTCTGTATGGACATGTCTCTGTATGGACATGTCTCTGAATGGACATGTCTCTGTATGGGCATCCCTCTAGACCCTCTAACCCGTCCTTGCTTTCTCGATTTTCTTTCATTCTCTGTCCTTCTCTCCTCTCTCCCTCTCTCACACTCGCTCAACATGCGCTCTCTCTCTCCCTTGCTCCCATGAGGTTGAGGTGTACCTTTGCGGAGTGGGTGTGCAGGCCGGCGTCGGTGAGCAGGACGAGCCAGCGGATGCCGTGCTCGTGGGCGTACTCGTACTGCTCCGTCAGGCTGGGGGCGCGCACGCTCACATACTCCGCCTGCCACACATCCACCACACATTGGGGCAGGGGAACAGGTTTCGTGGTTGTCACACAAGTGTACCATCCATCAGTAGACGGCTATTCCTTCCAGCCCGAACTACCTTGATTCCAGCGGCCCAGAGCTACCTTGATTCCAGCGGCCCAGAGCTACCTTGATTCCAGCGGCCCAGAGCTACCTTGATTCCAGCGGCCCAAAGCTACCTTGATTCCAGCGGCCCAGAGCTGCGCCGTTACTCTCATCCTCTCGCTGAGCAGCCCCGCCCCTCCCCTGGCGCACACCAGCACGTCCACCGCTGCCTGCCTGCACACAGCACAGGAGCCCGCCATGGGAGGAGAGAGGTGGACGGCGAGGGGGAAGGGGGGAAAACCCAATGATGCAGCAGCAGATTGGGGCAATGCGAAGGCTCCAAATGATGCAGGAGATGTAAGAGAGCTTGAGAGAAAGGTGATGCTCCAGGTGGCAACAGGAAGCCGGTACGCGTGCACCTGGCGCTGTCATCCACACCTGGTGCTGTCATCCACACCTGGTGCTGTCATCCACACCTGGTGCTGTCATCCACACCTGGTGCTGTCATCCACACCTGGTGCTGTCATCCACACCTGGTGCTGTCATCCACAACCTGGTGCTGTCATCCACACCTGGTGCTGTCATCCACACCTGGTGCTGTCATCCACACCTGGTGCTGTCATCCACACCTGGTGCTGTCATCCACACCTGGCGCTGTCATCCACACCTGGTGCTGTCATCCACGGCGGGCTGCAGCGGCGCCATGAGCTTGTGCAGTGCTACACTGAACCCCACCGCCCCCACTGCCCCACTTGCCCCCCCACTGCCCCCCCCACCAGCGCCTCCTCCCCCTCTTGGGCGAGAGCTCTGCAAAGAGAGACGAGGCATGGCACATGAGAGCACAGACGAGGCCCACATGCAAGAGATGAGAGGCGGAGAACGGCATGCCCACACAGACGAGAGAACCAGGGGACAGGCAAGAGACCAACGGACAAACCGACAGAGGACGACACACAGACAAACAAGAGACCAGCCGACACGAGAACAGCAGACAAACATGCAAGAGGGAAACAGCAGACAAACATGCAAGAGGGAAACAGCAGACCAACATGCAAGAGGGAAACAGAAAGAGTTGTCAGATTGATGGAGCTCCGTGCTGCAACTCATACTTGTATGCCCCACCCCACTTCACCAGCAGCCTCTGCCAGCAACATGCTCAAAGCAGTCCCCCATGCTACCATAGCACGGCATGTCGTCCTCCCCTATGTGGCACATCCCCTGCTGTCCCTGCCCCTCACACACACCCCCGTCTCCCTCGACTCCCATCTGTACCACGCACCACTCCTCGCCCAGCGGCAGCAGCAGCAGTGGAGGCGGTGAGGTGGCGCAGCAGGGAGTCGTAGCGGCCGCCCACCGCAACACAGAGGGGCGGACTGGAGGACCACGAGGCGGACAGGGGGGACAGGGACGACGGCAGGAGGCGGGACGAGGGGGAGGGCGAGGAGGGGAGTGAGCGCGAGGAAGCAAAGGCGCCATCAGGGGCAGGCAGGGTGGTGCGCTGAGAGCTGATAGGCAGGGAGTGCTGCTGCTGCTGCTGCTGCTGCTGCTGCTGCTGCTGCTGCTGCTGCTGCTGCTGCTGATGCTGATGCTGCTGCTGCTGATGGTGGTGGTGGTGGTGGTGGTGGGCAGGAAGAGAGGGCAGGTGCCTCGCATGGATCTGACGTACCGGGGGAGTAGGAGGGAGAGATAGCTTCCAGTAAGGGAAAAAAACTTACAGTTAGAAGCAGGAGGGAAAATAACTTCCCATTAGAAGCAGGAGGCAGAGTAGCCAAAGGATGGTGAACAGATCTGGAAATCGCTCAAGTGACTGCAACGCCCCAGGATGGGGGAAACTTGCATGAGGCGCGAGAAATGGAAAAAAACCTGGAAGACGAATTGTGGCCGCTGGAAGCAGCCGTGTGAGGCGAGGTGACCTGGAAGCAGCCGTGTGAGGCGAGGTAACCTGGAAGCAGCCGTGTGAGGGTGGAGTGACCTGGAAGCAGCCGTGTGAGGGTGGAGTGACCTGGAAGCAGCCGTGTGAGGGTGGAGTGACCTGGAAGCAGCCGTGTGAGGGTGGAGTGACCTGGAAGAAGCAGTGTGAGGGTGGAATGACCTGGAAGCAGCCATGTGAGGGTGGAGTGACCTGGAAGCAGCCGTGTGAGGGTGGAGTGACCTGGAAGAAGCAGTGTGAGGGTGGAGTGACCTGGAAGAAGCAGTTGGAGAAGTAGTGGTGGGAGGGTGCCATGAGGGCGTCGATGGTGGTGGCGGCGGGGTGGATGCCCCACACGCGCAGCAGCCGCAGCACCTCACCCAGCTCCTCCAGCGCCCCTGCCACCAGCGGCCCTGGCGGCGGGGGAGAGCGGCACATGGGAGGGACGAGGGGGGCATGAAGGGGAGGTGGGCATCACGAGAGAGGAGGGTGAGCTGTACACCTTGGCTGACACGGCTTACAACGACCGCATACCTGGTGGCAGCGCCCCTCTGAGCCTGCTGCCATACCTGGTGGCAGCGCCCCTCTGAGCCTGGCCATGGCATCGTCTGCTGCTCCACTGAAGCGCTTCTCCACGGCTTGCAGGCGGTCCACCACCGCCTCACTCATGCCCACGCCCTGCCACCCATGCACCGCTCACACACCCGCACACACACATGCACGCAGGTGCTCAGGCACACACACAGCCACGTACACATGCCGACACGCATATGCACACAAACTTCGCAGAAGAGGAACCACCAGAGCAAGGGTAATCTAGCACTTGATGATTTGACGACGAGAGCAAGGGTAATCTAGCACTTGATGATTTGACGACGAGAGCAAGGGTAATCTAGCACTGAGGGCACTCGCATCTGCACCACACACCTGCAACACACACCCGCAGCACACACCTGCACCACACACCCGCAGCACACACCTGCACCACACGCCCTTCCCAAGACACGCACCTGGAGCAGCTGGCGGCGCACGAGAGGCCACGTGGCCTTGCGCGAGGGGGCTGTGGGGGGAGAGCCGCCCAGCAGCGCCAGCAACTGCCACGAGCACAGGGAGGGGTGGGGGCGGTGGGAGGAGTGGTGGGTGGCATGGTGCTGAGAGCAATGGTGGGCGATGCGGGTACAAGGAGTGAAAGGGCAGACGAGCAGCCTGAAGCGATAGGAGAGTGCCTCACCTGAGCCACACTGGCCACCTGGTCTCTGCTGACCCCCGCCCACTGCCATATGGCGGACAGCAGGTCGCGATGGCTCAGCCGCACCTCCACTGCCCCCCATGCCGCACCGCACCCCTCCACCACGTCCACCGCCACCTGTGAGCAGCACGGGAGGGAGGCAGCACGGAAGGCAATGTAGAGAGACGAAGAATTTGGGGTTGACTGTCCGGGTGTCAAGGCCTTCAGAGACAGCTGGTGTGCAAGTGGGCATCGGTGCGCACAAGGAGTTGGGAGAAGGAGCGGTGGGGGGCTGTATATTTGCTCACTCACACTCTTATAAGCTACCTGGACGATGGTTGAGCTGCCCATGTGCGCACCTTGATGGTTGAGCTGCCATGTGCACACCTTGATGGTCGAGCTGCCTATGTGCGCACCTTGATGGTTGAGCTGCCTATGTGCGCACCTTGATGGTTGAGCTGCCATGTGCGCACCTTGATGGTTGAGCTGCCTATGTGCGCACCTTGATGGTTGAGCTGCCTATGTGCGCACCTTGATGGTTGAGCTGCCATGTGCGCACCTTGATGGTTGAGCTGCCCATGTGCGCACCTCACCTTGATGGCTTCTGCATCCGCCAGAACGGGCGTCCCTCCCACGATGTCAAAGTCCGCCTGCCATCACCACGCACATCCGCGCATGCAGCACGCATCACAGGGCATGCAGCACGCATCACAGGGCATGCAGCACGCATCACAGGGCATGCAACACGCATCACAGAGCATGCAGCACGCATCACAGGGCATGCAGCACGCATCACAGGGCATGCAGCACGCATCACAGGGCATGCAGCACGCATCACAGGGCATGCAGCACGCATCACAGGGCATGCAGCACGCATCACAGGGCATGCAGCACGCATCACAGGGCATGCAGCACGCATCACAGGGCATGGGAATGGCGCATCAATAATTGGGCAGGCATAAAGACGCGGACATGCGATGGCAGCAACAGAAGGGGAGAAACAGAATAGTGAGGCCATCGACTGGCCAAAGCTCCAGGCACAATCCTATGGTGTACTGTGGAACAGTGCTAGCCATTCCAAACAGCGTGCATTCTTGCTCAACACTCACCTGCGAGATCTGCACATGACAGGCACACCGAGATTATAACAGTCAGGAGCGTCGCAGGTACCATTCGCTACACCCCCTGCCCGCTCCTCCTTAACACTTGGCAGCGATTTCTGCCGCAGGTTTGGACGGGGTAAACGGAGGGGCCCACCTGCAGGTAGTTGCGCAGGGCCCACCTGCAGGTAGTCGCGCGGGGCCCACCTGCAGGTAGTTGCGAGGGGCCACCTGCAGGTAGTCGCACGGGGCCCACCTGCAGGTAGTCGCGCGGGGCCCACCTGCAGGTAGTCACGCGGAGGCCGGCGACCCGGAGCTCGGCGGAAGACAGAGGAGAACTGAAAGCGCTTCAGAGACGAGGTCTGGAGAGAGCAGGGTGATGGCGGGAGATGGGGAGAGATGGTTGATGGTAAGGGAGCCATGGAGTGAAGTGAGAGACTGGAGGAAGGCAACTGTGTGCGGCGACAGTAGTGAGCACAAGACTGGGACCATCACCTGCGTGGCAGCCAGCCAGCGGGCGAAGGTGACTCGGGTGTCGTAGCGCAGCGAGAGCAGCGAGCCCTGTGCGTCCACCACGCGCACTGCAAGGCTGGATGGCCACAGGGGCGTGCATGAAAGGAGAGAGGAAGGAAGGGACGTGAGAAGAGCACAAGGAGCATAAAGCGAGACAGCACTGGTGCGTGGCTCCACATACTCGTGCGTCCGGCGGTCGGGATACGCAAAGTCAACCAGGCGGGTGTCGGACCCCACAGCCCCGTGCTGGTGGAAGATGCGCTGCACGCGTGCCACCACCCCGTCTCTCACGCCCGTCCACTGCAGCGCGCCCCCCTCCCACTCCTCCTCCACCCCGCCCACGCCGTGCACCCCATGGGAGGGCGTGCGGGTGGAGAAGGCAGAGGACGTGGCGTTGAGGGGGGCGGGCGCGTGGCGGTCGAAGACAGCGGCGAGCACGCGGTCGTACACCGAGGAGTCGTCGCCGGGCGCCTGGATGGTGCGCAGGATGGCTGCATGCAGGGGGGACGGGGGGAGACGAGACGGCAGATGTGAGCCAGCACAGGATGCACAGGCATGGAAGGGTGTGTGCAGGCATGGAAGGGTGTGTGCAGGCATGGAAGGGTGTGTGCAGGCATGGAAGGGTGTGTGCAGGCATGGAAGGGTGCGTGCAGGCATGGAAGGGTGCGTGCAGGCATGGAAGGGTGCAGGCAGTGAGGATGAGAGGCGCGCAATGCAGTGAGAGTGGTCCCCCCCGCCCCACCGTTGAGCGCCTCATCCTCCATGCGTGGCGGCATGAGGTCGGAGCGCAGCACCTCAGCTGCTGACGGACGGTCACTGGGCAGCGGGCTCAGCAGCAGCCGCACCAGCGCTGCCACCTGTGGCTCAAATATGCACACACGCAGGCACACAGGCGCGCAGGCACAGGCAGACACGCATACACAGGAACCGGCACACAGACAGGCGTACAGAAGCACAGAGATGGCAGCACAGAGATGAATCAATGTGTCCTTTGACATGCTCAAAGACATCAAACCACGACGCTGGTGGCGCGAGAAATCGAGTGTGCTGCAGTGAGTGGCGTGTGTAGGGGTTCAGCCCACGTGTGTGGCAGGGGCAGGGTGCACCTGCGGGTGGTCGGTGGCCCAGGGTTCTGGCAGCGTGCGGTGCAGCTTGAGCGCGGAGAGGGTGTGCGCGCGCTCCATGGCGGTGTGGAAGGGGTGCCAGCACTCCAGCAGCACAACGCCCAGACTCCACATGTCCACCTGCCCGCCCCACGCACCATGTCATAGGGGGGACAGGTTAGTCTCAGTGCGCACCACACATGCTGCACACATGCATGGCGTGGGCGTGAGGGGATCAGAAGGCACACTGGAGGAACAGCAGGTGATGACATGGCGTGCCAGATGACAGCAGCCGACCACGGAATATGCTGAACGGCACGAGCCATGGGAGACGATGCTGCCAGCACTCACCTTCTCATCCACGTGCAGCCAGCACTCACCTTCTCATGCACGTGCTGCCAGCACTCACCTCTCATCCACGTGCAGCCAGCACTCACCTTCTCATCCACGTGCGCCCATCCCTGCTCCACCTCGGGCGCCGTGTAGAAGTACGTCCCCACCTGCCCCGTTGTCGACTGCCGCCGCTCCCCCATCGCCCCCCCTGCCCTCTCCCGCACTACCCCCCCTGCCCCCTCCCCTGCATGCTCGGGTGTGCCTTCCTCCGCGGCCTCCACCGCTTTGTCGGCAGCAGAGACTCCCTCCCCGAGCTCGGAGAACTTGGCTGCAGGGGAAAGAGCAGCGAGGGGGATCAAACAGGCAGCATTGACCTTTGCGTACTGCGCACTGTGAGAGCTGCTCGCACAAGAACAATGCAGCAGCCGCGCGTCACCCCTCCGCCCTCCCGCCCTCTCTCCCTCACCGAGCCCGAAGTCGCCGATCTTGATGTCTCCACGCGGGTCGACGAAGAGGTTGTTGGGCGTGAGGTCGCGGTGGATGACGCCCTGCGAGTGCACGTGCAGCAGCCCCTCCACCACCTGCCGGAACATGCGCCACGCCCCCTCCTCGTCCACCTCGCCCTCTCCCCGCGCATCAAACACCTGCCGCAGCGTCCTGGCCAACAGAGAGGGCAGTTGAGACGCGGGCAGATATTGTAAGGATGAGACGAGGTGCGTGGGAAAGCAGACTGTTGTAGGTGGTCATGAGAAAGGCTGCGAGGTATGTGGATGGAACCACACGGACGTGTCCATACAGGGACAACCATTTCAGCCATATCACACCCTGCACAACTGCACGCAGTATGCAGGAGTGAGAAGAGGGCGGTGAGCACCTGGGGCAGTATTCCATCTGAATGTACAGGTACGTGCTCTCCCCCTCTGACCCCTTGCTGCCCATCCTCCCGCCACCATCGCCATCGTCCAGCTCCCCGGTGTGGTCTGCGCCCCGGGTGAGCCACTCCGAGGCAGACGCCAGGGAGGTGGAGGCGGTGGCGGTGGCAGTGGCGGTGGCGTGGAGGGAGTCCATGCTGTGGCTGTGGGCGGCCAGGTGGCCCATGAAGCGCCCCACGCCCGTCTCAAACCACGCCTGGTAGTAGCGCACCACGTGCTGGTGCTGCAGACGCGACAGCGTTGCCACCTCCCTGCCATGCGCACGGCATGCACATGCACATGCACATGCACATGCACGTGCACAAGCACATGCACATGCACATGGGGTGAGCACAACATTGAGGAGAGCAGGTAGGGGAGAAAGAGGCGCGAAGGAGGATGCAGGGAGACAGTGAAGACGGGCGCATGTGAAGGGGAAAGCAGCAGGTGGTGGAGGTTGCAGGCAGTGGCGAGGCACCTGAGGATCTTGGAGTTGAGGGCGGGGCTCTTGCCCTTGAGGGGGATGCGCTTGATGGCGTACCTCCTGCCGTCCAGCTTGTTCACACACAGCACCACCGACCCAAACCCGCCCTTCCCTGCACACCTCAGTGCAGTGGCAGGGCGCAGGGCGCATGGGAGAGCACACATGAAGGCCAGCGGACGGCACCACGCAGAACAAACCATCATGGCACCACTGCCACTGCCACTGCTCACTGCTCACTGCTCACCCACCATGGCACCCCGCCCAGCATGGCATCCCACCCACCCAGCATGGAGACCTCTTCGAAGTCTGAGAGGTAGCGAGACCCCGATGCCTGTGCTGCTGCATCTGCATTGGGCCCCTCGCCCCTCAGCTCCGCACTAGCAGACCAGAACCGCCGCAGCACCCATTGCACCTGCCAGCATGGCACGGCAGCACAGCAGAGGGCGAATGCCCCATTGAATGCCCCATTGAATGCCCCATTGAATGCCCCATGGAATGCCCCATGGAATGCCCCATTGAATGCCCCATGGAATGCCCCATTGAATGCCCCATGGAATGCCCCATGGAATGCCCCATGGAATGCCCCATGGAATGCCCCATTGAATGCCCCATTGAATGCCCCATTGAATGCCCCATTGAATGCCCCATGGAATGCCCCATGGAATGCCCCACTGATTGCCGTAACGCAAGAGACACACGCATGCAAGGCAGGTGTGGATGGCAGGCCGACAGGCATAGCTGGTTCGGGGCATGGACGTGGATGGCAGAGTAAGAGAGACGGCAGGGATGCAGCAAGGCGCATGGCATGCTGAGAGACTCACGGAGGGGTCAGCCCGGGCGTGCTTGGTGAGGCGATGCGCAGCCCTGCTGAAGGTGCGCTGAAAGGCGCGGTCCACCAGGCGGGGGTCGTGCTGCAGTAGATCCGCCACCCACTGCGGGATCACCTGCCGTTGTTGGAGGCGCACGCGCACGCATGCACACACACACACACACACACACAAGCACGCACACGCATGCACACACACGCACACACAAGCACGTGCACACATGCACACACACACACACACACACAAGCACGCGCACGCATGCACGCACACACGCGCATGCACGCACACACACACACACAAGCACGTGCACGCATGCACACACACACACAAGCACACGCACGCATGCACACACACACACACACACGCGCGCACACACACACACACGCACGCACGCATGCACACACACACACATGAGAGAAGTAACATTAGAGAGAACGAATTGAACTAGATTGAGAGCCAAGAGGCTCTATAGTACAACCAAGGAGGAAAAGGAAAGGTTGGAAGGGAAGCCACTGCTATTGGCTACAATAGTGGCCAATGGGAGAGGTAGCTTGGAGGGGAGGCAACCCCAAAGTGTGGTAGTTGCTGATTGGTGGAGCCTTGGGACCATTTGGTTGGAAAGTGCCAACCAAAGGACCAAGGCCAAATCCAATCTTGACCAACCTGAAGTGTGGCTGGTGAACCCAACAACAACCCCCCAATAACTTAAATGTCTACACCCCCTATTCTAGTCATGCATGTTATATATAAGTATAGATTACAACAACACACACACAAGCATGCGCAGATGTGAGCATGGCCGTGTCTCCTTCCACTGCCTCCACTGACCACTTTTCCTCATGCTGCACCGCTTGACTCGCGCGCTCACCTCAAGGGCGAGCAGCTGCGAGGAGAGCGCGGGCAGTGCGTGCGGCAAAGGCCCCTTGTCACTGGTGACGATGCGCAGCAGGTGGGCCTGCACGCACAGGGGGGGCGAGGCGGAGGGCAGAGAGACGGACAGGGAGAAGACGACTCAAAGAGGAGGAGTGACCATGGCGGGCAGCAGCATGGGGATGCATGGAGAGGGGAATTGAGTGCTTACGAGGAGGAACGCTTACGAGGAGCAGGTCGCGTTGGATCATGGTGGTGAACATGTCTCTCTCGCCATGGCGCCGCGCACCATGCGCCGATGCCGATGCCGATGCCACCACAGCTGAAGCGACAGCAGCAGCAGGCGTGGAGTGAGCGGTTGTGTGCCTCCCATGTGCTCCCACTACTGCTCCTCCATCCCCGCCACCACCTCCCCTCCTTTCATTCTCATCCTCCTCCTCTTCCTCTTCCTCTTCCTCTTCCTCCCCCTCTTCCTCCTCCTCCTCCTCCTCCCCCACTTCTTCCTCATCTTCCACACCCCCGTGCCCCGTCCCCATGCCCCCTTCCCTCTTGTGTCTCTCTGTGCTCGCTGCGCTCCTCTGCTGCCCCACTAGCTGCTCCACCTGCCAGCCAGGGCCCACAGTGAGCAGGGAGCAGGGAGCAGGCAGGGAGGAGGAGTGGGGATGAGGGAGCAGGGAGCAGGGTGGGGAGCGGGGAGTGGGAGGCAGAGAACAGAGAGAATGGAGCAGGGAGCAGTAAGTGGGGAGCAGGGAGGTGAGGAGCAGGAGGCAGTGAAGCGCAGGGCGACCGTGAACCCTGCATCACCTTCACTTCCTACCCCCCATTACCTCTGCCAGTGGGGTCACTCGGCCCTAGCGCCCAGCTCACCTCTGCCAGCACCTGCATGCTCTTGAGCCCTTCCCTCACTCGCCGAATCAGCTCCCCCACCGACCCCTGTGTGTCATCCTCCCCTCCCCCCGATGCTGACATGGACAACCCACCACCCTCGTCCCAACGCCCCACTGCCGAGTAGGAGGCTGAGGTGGCAGTGGAGGTGGCGGTGGTGTGGGAGGCAGCACCATCCGAGCTGCTGTCGCCCTGCTGCTGCCATAACCCCTTGACGCTGCGCCTCTCCCTGCCACCGCTGCCTGGCCCCTCCTCCTCTCCACTCGCTTCCTCCTCCTCCTCCTCGTCATCCTCCGATGAATCACTTGCTTCTCTACTCTGCTGCCTCCGCATCTGTCTTCCACCACCCACTCCACCCTGTCTGCCCGCACCACTGGCACCAGGCACAGCAATGGCTTCACTCCTCCCTCCCCCTACTTCACCCTCTCGCCGCTCTCGCCCTGTCCTGCCTCCAAGGCCCCCTCTTCCTTGCCCACCCGCTCCCCTTCCTTTCCCTCTCCCCCCACCCTCCACCCCACCCCTTCCAGCCCCACCCTCCACCCCACCCCTTCCAGCCCCACCCTCCACCCCACCCCTTCCAGCCCCACCCTCTAGACTGGCTCCGATGCCTCTACCTCTCCCTCTGCCTCTCCCTCTGCCCCTGCCCCTGCCAGCGCCTGCAGGGCCAGGCGCAGAGGGCCAGGGCGCATGTGGGCCGGGGAGAGCGGAGAGGGCGTCGGAGAAGAGCCCCGCATCCACACTGTCCTCCCACGCCCCGTACCCCGCCTCACCCTCGCTGCCTGCCCTGGACGCCGTGGGCGAGGTGGGTGCCGCCTGCACGTGCTCCCACCACAAACGCCCACACGCCAGGAGCACACGAAGCAGAGAGGTGTGAGGGCCATGGGATCGGGCTCCCACACACACATGCAACCAGCAGTCGGGAAAAGCAGGCGGTGAAATGAGATAGGCGCGTGTACCTGGGCGTGAGTAGCAGGTGCTTGGTGCATGGCGGGCGGCAGCGAGGAGAGGTGGCGCGAGAGGAACTCCTGAGCCGTCTCCGCGAGGTTGAACACCATCACGCGCCCCTCCCGTGCCGCACACGCCGCCTGCATGCACGCATGGCGACAGGCAGCATGCGCATGAATGGCAGAGACCGCTCAAGGCCACACAGGAAGGCATGGCAGCAGCAACAGGGCCCGCGCAGGGCTCACCTGCTCCTGCAGCAGCGCCACCAGCTCCACCACGTCCTCCTGCTCCAGTCCCTGCCGAGCCTCCACTCGCAGCTTCGGCGGCCGCTTTGGGTATCCCGTCACGTACCTGCGGAGAGCAGCAGGCATGGAACAGACAACGCGATGAACAACCACGACCCACCCCTGACCACGACCCCTGACCACGACCCCTGACCACGACCCCTGACCACGACCCCTGACCACGACCCCTGACCACGACCCCTGACCACGACCCCTGACCACGACCCCTGACCACGACCCCTGACCACGACCCCTGACCACGACCCCTGACCACGACCCCTGACCACGACCCCTGACCACGACCCCCTGACCACGACCCCTGACCACGACCCCCTGACCACGACCCCTGACCACGACCCCCTGACCACGACCCCTGACCACGACCCCTGACCACGACCCCTGACCACGACCCCTGACCACGACCCCTGACCACGACCCCTGACCACGACCCCCTGACCACGACCCCTGACCACGACCCCTGACCACGACCCCCTGACCACGACCCCCTGACCACGACCCCTGACCACGACCCCTGACCACGACCCCTGACCACGACCCCTGACCACGACCCCTGACCACGACCCCCTGACCACGACCCCCTGACCACGACCCCTGACCACGACCCCCTGACCACAACCCCTGACCACGACCCCTGACCACGACCCCTGACCACGACCCCTGACCACGACCCCTGACCACGACCCCCTGACCACGACCCCACCTGACCATGAGATGAGCTGGCGACAGCCTCACCCCACCACGGGCTCACCTGACGACGGGCTCCCTCACCTGACGACGGGCTTGCTCACCTGACGACGGGCTCGCTCACCGGACGATGAGGTCGAGGGCGACGGCGTCGAGGTTGGCGCCGTCAGCGAGCGAGTAGTGCGGGCGCAGCAGCAGCGCGTACTCCACCAGCGGCCGCTCCGCCAGCAGGCGGAAGTCCTCCGCGAAGATGGCGGAGCTGCGCGCAGGGCGGGCGAAGGGCGGCCATGGGGAGAGGCGTGAGCACGGAGAGAAACGCCAAGGGCAGAAAATAAATAGTGGCAACGCCGGGCAAAATTCAGAGCGCGAAGCAGCGAAGGAACAGTGGTACTGGATTGCAGTGGTCTGGATTGCAGTGGTCTGGATTGCAGTGGTCTGGATTGCAGTGGTCTGGATGAACATGACTCCGACGAACCAGAGGGCGCCAATCTCGGCAAAAGATGGCGGTAAGTTCGGTTGTTTAATGCTACAGGGCGGTAAGCTGTATGGCGGTAAGGCTCGGCGGTACATGGCGTGGCGTGGTGAACACGGCGTGAGCCTCGGGCGTACATTGCGGTGAGCTCGTCGAGCTGCTGCGCGCGCAGGTCGTCATCGTCGTCGTCGTCGTCCCTGCGATGCCGAGCGCCGCCACCGCGATGGGCGCGCGACTTCTTCTTGCCCGCCATGCACGTGCCGCGTCACACGCGCCAGTGAACAGGCGGCATCACCCCACTTGGCGGATTTCATGCATGACGTACGCAGCACTATCAGCGTAGCACTATCAGCGCAGCACTATCAGCGCAGCACTATCAGCGCAGCACTATCTAAATGCTAAGGCTTTTAGTCAGGCCTCGACAAATCTCGACTGACCAAGCAGCTTAGCAGCCTAATGAAGTCGCTGGACGCAACAGCCTGAATTTGCCTTGGGAGCCAGCATGGCATGATTGCCCCACATTGGCCTCTGCTGCCAGGTGAACTGAATTCCGCGCCAGGCTGCTGACAGGAAATTCCGTGGTACAGTACGGTGCAGATCCGAACGAAATAGGCAGCTTCGCATTTGTTTGGGTAACGTCTTCGCCACGTTTTTTGGAACACAGCTCTTGCCACAGGAGGGCATTGGGAATTCCAGAAGGGCGGGTGGGTGTTGGCGGGAAAGGGCAGCTCGGCAGAATCGAGGAACCACTTCCCCTTCCTGCGCCTCATCACCCCCTCCTCGCCCCCTCGTCAACCGCTTGCGCTTCTTCTCCAATCTACCACCACCTGCGCTGTTCAGCAGCCCTCAGTTTCGCGTCACATTTACCCAATTTCTCGTCCGCTCATCTGCTTAGCCATTATATTTTCTATCCGCGCGAGCGGCGGCGCGTTTCCCGATGGCAACTGAAGGGGGCCAGTCGCCGGAGAGCGACGGCGAGGCGACGGCGACGGTGACGGTGGTGATCAAGAACCCGTCGGCGTCGTCGCCGGGCGATTTCAGGACGCAGGTGCGGGCGTCAGGCACGGTGGGCGACGTGAAGCGGCAGCTGCAGGTGGAGTACGCGGGGCACCCCGACCCCGCGCGGCAGAAGCTCATCGTGGCGGGCCAGCTCGTTAAGGACTCGCTTCTCATCCGCGACGTATTTAAACAGGTCCGCGCGCTCGTGTTCCTCGGGCCGCACCTGGTGGTGCTTAACGCGTATAGAGATCTCCCTCTTGCTCACTGCCGTGTTCTGCGAGATGTTACGCGTTCAGCCGCCGAGATTTTCTGATGTATTTTAGCGCGAAATTTACACCGCGATTCAATCAACGTGACTGAATTGCTCCTCCGCGTGCAAGTAAATTGAAAAAAATGGTTCCACCGCGATTTTAATATGTTCCCCAAGCTTTTGACTTTGATTTTCACCGCCCCAAGAGAGCGTCAGTGTTTTCATGTGCATCCGTCTCTGCTCCCCCCTCTCTTCTCCTCCGCCGCGCAGAAGAACCTGAACGACCCGCAGGTGATGCACCTCGTCGTCTCGTCGGCTGCCCCGGGCACCTCCTCCGCGCCCTCCTCCGTGCCGTCCACGGCGCACTCCAGCCGCTCTGTCTCGCCCACGCCTTCCTCCTCCTCCGCCCGCTCCCTCTCCCGCGCCACCCTCCCTGCCTCCACCCACGCGCCTGCTGCTTCCCCTGCGCCGCCTACGCCAAACCCTGCGCCCTTTGCGGCACTCTCTTCCGCGCCCTCTGCTGCGCCCTCTGCCGCGGCGTCACTGCAGCGCGCAGGGGCTGCTGCAGGGTCAGGGCAGGCTCTGCCCGTGGACCCGAGCGGGCCAGCTGCAGCGGCTCCCACTGCTGCTGTGGCCGCCCCCGCTGTGCCTGCTGCTGCAGCCGCTGGTCCCGGTGCAGCGGGTGCTGGGGGTACAGCAGGTGGTGGAGAGGCAGGGGGACGTACACCCACACCCACACCCACAGCAGCAGCAGCTCCCGTGGGCACACAGGCTGCTACTGCAGGGTGGGAGCAGCAGCAGGCCATTCTTCAGGTGAGCAGCAGGCCATTCTTCAGGTGAGCAGCTGGCCATTCTTCATGTGAACAGCTGGCCATTCTTCAGGTGAGCAGCTGGCCATTCTTCATGTGAACAGCTGGCCATCCTTCAGGTGAGCAGCAGGCCATCCTTCAGGTGAGCATTTGATTGCTTCGCCTCCGAACCACCTCTCCCGTTTCTTTATCCTATCCGCTCCCCTCTCTTCCCCCTCCCGCTCTGCCCTGTGTGTTCTGCAGTTGCTCTCTGCGTTGCACCACACCGCGCCCTCTGGACTGCCGCCTCTGCCCTTCGCTCCTCTCATGCCCCCACCTTTCTTTGCCCTCCCACCACCGCACCCTGCTTTCACGCTGCCTGCCGTCATGCCGCCTACCAACTCTGCCCTGCCTGCTCCTGGCCTATACCCTCCTCTGTTCGCCTCCCCGCTGATGCCCCTCTCCCTGCCGCCCACGCCCTTCCCATTCACACCGCCGCTGCCCTTCCCGTCGCCCCTGCCCATGCCTCGCGATTCCCTGCCTCCCATCGCCTTCGCCCCTCCCATGCCGCCCTTCGCCTTCCCCCCTGCCATGCCTCCACTGCACCCAGGCTCCAGCAACAGGTGAGCCGTGCTGGAGTGCAGGGCACATGATGAGAGTGCAGGGGACATGGTGAGAGTGCAGGGCACATGATGAGAGTGCAGGGCACATGATGAGAGTGCAGGGCACATGGTGAGAGTGCAGGGCACATGATGAGGGTGCAAGAGCCGTTTTCTATTCTGCGTTTTCACTGGATCTGCTTGTCCCGGTCACTGTTCCGCCCTACTGGGGTTGCTCCTCTCCTCCCCATTGACCCCACCGTTTCTCCTCCTCTTCGTTCCTCCCAGCTTCTCCTCCCTCCCGCCAGTGCTACCTCCCGCGCCCCCTCTCTCTGCCCATGTGCCTACGCCTTCCGCTGCCAGCCCTGGGCCCCCCGCCGGCCCGTCTTCGCACCCCCTGCCTGCAGCAGCAGTGCCTGCAGCCGCGCCTTTGCCTCAGGTGGGGGCAGCGCAGCCACAGCTTGTTGCTGCCCCTGCTGCTGCCGCCGTGGCAGTGCCTGCTGCGGTGGGAGAGGAGGCGAACCCAGCACTGGCAATGCAGCAGCGGGTGAGGCAGGCAGGGGCAGGGGGGGGGGCGGCGGAGGAGGAGTGGCAGCAGCAGCTGCAGCAGCGGCTGCAGGCGGTGATGCAGGCGGTGAGGCAGCAGCAGATGGCGGAGCACCACATGGCGGCGGCCGCTGCTGCTGCAGCCGCTGCTGCGCCCAGGGGGGTGCCAGGTGGGCTGGCAGGGGTGCAGCCGGGGGGAGGAGTGGCAGTGGATGCAGCAGCGCAGGCTGGCATGGGGGGCGGGGCAGCAGTGGAGGGGGCGCCTCGCGTGCGGCGCATTCAGTTCGCGATCCGCATTGACCTCATGCTGCTGCTCAAGCTCACGCTGCTTGTCTATGTCTTCGGCCAGGGCGGGGGCTACCGCCGCTTCTTCGCCCTCATTGCCGCTGCGCTCTTCATCTACCTGTGAGCGCTCTTCATCTACCTGTGAGCGCTCTTCATCTACCTGTGAGCGCTCTTCATCTACCTGTGAGCGCTCTTCATCTACCTGTGAGCGCTCTCCATCTACCTGTGAGCGCTCTTCATCTACCTGTGAGCCGCCTCGGCTTCTTCCTCAACTTACAGCGCCACTCCCACTTTCGTCCGCTCCACAGCAAGCTCCCCGTCCTCACGTTCCATTTGGCCCCCCTACCCATCCTCCCCCGCCCACCCTTCCCCCCACCCTTCCACGACGCCGTTGCCAGGTACCAAGCGGGAGTGCTCTCGCCTCTCCTGCGCTGGCTGTCTGACCGCGCCCAAGCTGCCATGGCTCTGCCGCCCCACCAACCCCACCCCGCCCCTGCTGCCAACCCTGCTGCTGCTGGCGCAGCAGCGCCTGGGGCTGCGGGGGGCGGGGGGGCAGAGGCAGCAGTAGGGGCGGAGGGAGCCCATGGTGGAGGGGCGCCAGGCGGGCAAGCAGGTGCGACGGCTGCCACCTCCCATCCCCCTCGCCTGCCTACCCTCCGCTCATTGGCTTTGTCTCGCTCTCTCTGGCATGGTTCAGGCTACGTCCACCACTTATGGACGCTCTTCTGCCTCTCTCCACCCTCCTCTCTCGCCTTGTGCCCTGCAGGCGCCCAAGCCCAGCAGCAGCAGCAGCAGGCGAGGGGGCGGGGGTTGCTGGCGGAGATTCAGATGTTTGTGGTGGGCTTCCTCACATCGCTGCTCCCTGGCTTCCAGCCGCCCGACCACCTGCCAGGCCTGCAAGCCCAGGGCGATCGCCCTCACCAGGATTAGAACCCGTTTTGCCAGTTGCTTGCCTTGGACCTAGTGAAGACGTTTTATTTCTGTTTTGTTTTCTGAAGTTCTATTGCACGGCTGCTACAGTAAATGTTTCCTGTTTCGGCGTCACTGTCGGCTTATAATGGTGCGTCAGGTGGATCGGGAGATTTCTGATCTGCACCTCCGAAAGCACCGCTACCAACCGCGTGCATGAGTCTTCTGCCTCCCTCTGCCCCATGCCGTTGTTTCCGCCATCGACGCACACCTTTCGCGCGTTTCCTGCGCGCCATCTCGGCTTGATCGTTAGCCCCTAGCGCCCCACGCTGCTCGCTTCGCCCCCCCTCCCCCCCCCGCCCGCCAGTTCGCCGACAGCTCCAGCGACAGCGGCGGCCCCGCCGGCCGCGCTTGCGGCAGCGACATCCATCATGGCGTCCGCGCAATCAGACGCCGCTGACACCCAATCGGACGGCTCTGATTCGCCCATTCTCGTGGAGCGGCCTGGTCCGCCCGATTTGTTTACGTCAGCCGAGCTCGCAAGCAGGGGGGAAGGGGCAGCAGCCGCCGGCGGGTCGGAGGCGAAGGCGGACGATTCGTCCGCGGGCCCGCCGTGCAGTGATGGGTCGCGCGGCGATGGGCGGAAGGACTCAAGCGAGGGGCGGACGGAGTGCGCGGAGCCGCGAGGAGAAGCAGAGGGAGTATCCGCGGTGGCGCTGGCGTCGCCGTCGACTGCGAAGCGGCGCGAGAGGGGCGCGGGGGGGGCGTCGGAGCAGGGCGGGGCGGCGGTTGCCGTGGGGCAGGGCGAGGTGGCTTTGGCCGTGGGGCAAGTGGCGGCGAACGTGGCGGGCTTCGCCAGCAGCGCAGGCGCCGAGGCGGCCGCCGTCGTGAGCAGCCTGAGCGAGCGGGTGAGCGGCGCACGGCACTGGCGCGCGGGCGAGACACAGCGGTGGTCGGGCATCGAGGGACCTCTCCCTCAATGACTCACCCCCCTGCTATTCCTCACCCCCCTGCTATTCCTCACCCCCCTGCTATTCCTCACCCCCCTGCTATTCCTCACCCCCCTGCTATTCCTCACCCCCCTGCTATTCCTCACCACCCTGCTATTCCTCACCCCCCTGCTATTCCTCACCCCCCTGCTATTCCTCACCCCCCTGCTATTCCTCACCCCCCTGCTATTCCTCACCCCCCTGCGTGTGTGCGTGTGTACGCATGTGTGTGCATGTGTGTGCGTCTGTGTGCATGTGTACGCATGTGTGTGCATGTGTACGCATGTGTGTGCGTCTGTGTGCATGTGTACGCATGTGTGTGCATGTGTGCGCATGTGTGTGCATGTGTGCGCATGTGTGTGCGTCTGTGTGCATGTGTACGCTTGTGTGTGCGTCTGTGTGCATGTGTACGCATGTGTGTGCATGTGTACGCATGTGTGTGCATCTGTACGCATGTGTGTGCGTCTGTGTGCATGTGTACGCATGTGTGTGCATGTGTGCGCATGTGTGTGCGTCTGTGTGCATGTGTACGCTTGTGTGTGCGTCTGTGTGCATGTGTACGCATGTGTGTGCATGTGTGCGCATGTGTGTGCGTCTGTGTGCATGTGTACGCTTGTGTGTGCGTCTGTGTGCATGTGTACGCATGTGTGTGCATGTGTACGCATGTGTGTGCGTCTGTGTGCATGTGTACGCATGTGTGTGCATGTGTGCGCATGTGTGTGCATGTGTGCGCATGTGTGTGCATGTGTGCGCATGTGTGTGCGTCTGTGTGCATGTGTACGCATGTGTGTGCGTCTGTGTGCATGTGTACGCATGTGTGTGCATGTGTACGCATGTGTGTGCATGTGTACGCATGTGTACGCATGTGTACGCATGTGTGTGCGTCTGTGTGCATGTGTACGCATGTGTGTAAATGTGTGCGCATGTGTGTGCGTCTGTGTGCATGTGTACGCTTGTGTGTGCATGTGTGCGCATGTGTGTGCGTGTGTGTGCATGTGTGCGCATGTGCATGTGTGTGCTTGTGTGTGCATGTGTGTGCATGTGTGTGCATGTGTGTGCATGTGTGTGCATGTGCATGTGTGTGCATGTGCATGTGCATGTGCATGTGTGTGCATGTGCATGTGCATGTGTGTGCATGTGCATGTGCATGTGTGTGCATGTGCATGTGCATGTGTGTGCATGTGCATGTGCATGTGCATGTGCATGTGTGCGTGGGCGTGCAGGTGACGGGGTTCAGCACGGGCTTTGTGTCGCTCTTCAGTGTCTTTGACTCTGCTGTCGCCTACCCCTCCGACTCCACCCAAGGGGGCTCTGCCGCCGCCCACAGCAGCGGCGGGGCGGACGGCAGCAGCGCAGGGGCAGAGCAGGGAGACAAGGCCAGGGCAGGCAGCAGTGATGGCAGTGGTGGCAGTGGTGGCGGGGGGGCGGGGAGCGCGGAGGCAGAGAGCGGGGAGGGCATGGGCGAAAGTGCGCGGGCGCACCACCCATCGCGGGCCATCGACCTGCAGGCCATCTTCGGCCTACCCACCAATGAAACCCTGCTGGAAGGTGCGTGGAACCTTCCATGGAAGCAGCGCATGCCGTGGGGCAAGGTTCATTCATCCTGCTGTGGCTCATTGTCCCCTCCCCCATCGATCCCTCCCCCATCGATCCCTCCCCCATCGCTCCCTCCCCCATCGCTCCCTCCCCCATCGATCCCTCCCCCCCCTTTGCCAGCCTTCCCGTGCCGCCTGCTGCAGCTGTACCGCCCGGTGCACAACAGCCTCACGCCGGACATGCGGCGTGCGTTCCGGGGCACGCTGTACGTGACGGAGCAGCACGTGTGCCTCTGCCTCGATGACAGCGCCCGCCGCATCCCCGTGAGACCACTGCCTCCCTCCCCACTCGCACGCCTCCCCCCTCGCTCTCACGCCTCCCTCCTCGCTCTCACGCCTCCCTCCTCGCTCTCACGCCTCCCCCCTCGCTCTCACGCCTCCCCCCTCGCCCTCACGCCTCCCTCCTCGCTCTCACGCCTCCCCCCTCGCTCTCACGCCTCCCCCCTCGCTCTCACGCCTCCCCCCTCGCTCTCACGCCTCCCTCCTCGCTCTCACGCCTCCCCCCTCGCTCTCACGCGTCCCCGCCTTCCGTCTCGCCTCCCTGCCCATCTGCCCATCTGCCCATCTTTGTCTCATGCCGCATTCCCTCTCAAGCGGTCCTTAGTATTGCTGAACCCTGGGTACAGGCTAGGCAAGGAGAGCAAGGTATAGAGACTTGTCGTATGGGAGACTTTAGCTAGTGAGTCCTAGGCCTACTGGAACCCCTCTTGGGGCTCAAGGATGGCGAAACAGTCCCCGAGGGACATGTCCGCGTCCGGGTCTCCTAAGGGGGGCCAATCTGCCGGCGAGGCCTCATTCACCTTCCCCAGGTAAGACAGGGCTTGCCCCCTCTGGAGCGTAATAGACCAGCGCTGGCTGAGCAGTTTCGCCGCTTGGTAGGAGCTGGGGTCCGCGTTGAAGAGTCGTCGGGCTCCCGTGTGCCCCAGCACCTCTCTCTCTCTCTTCTCCACATTGCTCTCCTCTCTCTGCCCCTGCCCTAACCCTGTCCTGCTGTGGTGCGGTGTGGTGTGGTGCGGGGTGGTGCGGTGTGGTGTGGTGTGGTGCGGTGGAATCAGATAAAGCTGGAGGCGTCGGAGGTGGGCGGGGTGGTGAAGCACAGCGCCAGGCGCGGGGAGACAAGCGACCAGCTGAAGATGGAGCTCACAGGGGCGCATTCCTCGGTCCGTGCGCTCATCCTTCCCACTATCCTCTGCGGCCCCCCTGCTGCATCTCTTTGTCTCACTCGCCATCTGCCTCCCTGCCTCTCTGTCTTTCCACCTCGCTATATCTCCATCCCTGCGGCCCTGCGGCCCTGCTGCGGCCCTCCGTCCCTGCATCCCTCCCTCCTCCCTCCCTCCATCCCTCCATCGCTCTGCCCCCATCACTCTCTCCCATCCCTCTGCCCCCATCGCTCTCCCCCATCCCTCTGGCCCCATTGCTCTCCCCCATCCCTCTGCCCCCATCGCTCTCCCCCATCCCTCTTCCCCCCTCAGCTTGTGCTGCAGGACTTTGCCTCTCCCGATGCGCTGGACAGCGCCCTCGCGCTCCTCGAGCACATCACCTCCTGACCGCATGCCGCCGCGCTCCACGCCGCCCGGCCTCACCCGGTTCCATGGCGAGACGAGCGCCGGGTTGGGTGCAGCAGGCACTTCAACTCGCACTTGCCATTCTCCTCCGCTTGGCAGAGATGTCAGACCTCTGCCAGTGCGAGCTGGCAGCAGCCCGAGCGCATGTAGGATGCCGTGCAGAGCACAGGCAACGCTCCCGCAGCCAGCCAGACGCATGGGATATGCGAGAGTGCGACTCATGCATGTTGTGCCATGTCACCGTGTTACTGCAGAGCGCTTCCTTGTTGGCAGACACAGTATGCTCCATGCATCCTTGCTCACTTCCACTAGAATTTGTACTTATATATCATATTATATATAATTCCACAGGTTACATAGGGCTCTAACGCTAGTATATGCAGTACAGCTTGTAGGGAGGGACACCGTATGTATAGACACTGGCTGAAGGCTTGCTTGGAGCCAGTGCACTTGGGGACTGCCATGGTTGGGCACTGCACTGCACTGCATGTGTCTCCTTGATGCCACGCGAGTGCAGTGCTCTGTGAGGGAGCACCCATCACAGCTGAAACCCTCGACTGCTGCCTCCAGCCCCCCCCTGTGGCTTGTCCGCGTCCAGAGAGAACGCCAGCTGCTCCATCTCCCCCCCCACGCCTCCCCTCTCCGCCTCCCCGTACTCCCCCTCCCTGCCACTCCCCCTGCTCCCATCCGACCCCTCCCTCTCCATCTCCCCCCCCCCTCCCCCCTCCTCCCGCCCTCCTCCCCGCCGTCGCTCTCGTCTGCTCTGCCATCACCGTCCTCCGCGCCTCGCTGGCGCTCGAAGCGGCTGACAAAGCGCTCCAGAGGCACCTCGGGGTGCAGCGCCGAGATCGCCTGGGGGGGCGGAGGCAAGGGGTTAGCACGATGGGGGGTGAGACGGGGAGTGGAGCATGAGAAGGGGAGTGGAGCATGAGAAGGGGAGTGGAGCATGAGAAGGGGAGTGGAGCATGAGAAGGGGAGTGGAGCATGAGAAGGGGAGTGGAGCATGAGAAGGGGAGTGGAGCATGAGAAGGGGAGTGGAGCATGAGAAGGGGAGTGGAGCATGAGAAGGGGAGTGGAGCATGAGAAGGGGAGTGCAACATGAGAGGGTGAGAAGGGTGGTGGCGCATGAGAAGGGGAGTGCAACATGAGAGGGTGAGAAGGGTGGTGGCGCATGAGAAGGGGAGTGCAACATGAGAGGGTGAGAAGGGTGGTGGCGCATGAGAAGGGGGTGTTGGGCAGGGCACCTGCAGCTGGTGTTGCAGGTGGCGCATGTAGTCGATGGCGTCGTCCAGCATGTCGGCGGTGTTGGCCTGCTTGTCCGTGTTGGGCACCAGCTCCGCCAGCCGCTTCATGTTATCCGCTATGCGCGACCGCCGCACCTGAGCGCATGCCGCCCCATGGCATGCGACACACAGGGGAGCAAGGGCATGGCAGAGCAGAGTGGCGATGGGCAAGAGTGCGGAGAGGGCTCAAAATGGGGGGAGTTGAAAACCAGGCGGATCAACGCAGGGCACGTGGATCCCAGCGTGGATAGTGCGGTGCAACGCGGTGCTCAGCAGTGACGAGCGGTGGAAGGACAGACAATGGGGCGTTGGAGGGGCCATGGCGGCAGTGTGGTACCCGTTCGGCGATGCTGCGCGGGTGGGTGGCGCACCCCCTCTTGGCGCGGATCTTGCACAGCACGCCGTCCTCCGACGCCAGCAGCCGCCCGCTCGCCGCTGCGCGCGCCACGTCCTCCCCCAGCCCCGCCGCCATGCGCCCAAGGTTCAGCGACCCCGGCCCCGCCATTGCGGAGATTCCCCCCATGCCCGCTCTGTGCGCCTTGCCCCCGCCCTCGTCGTCGCGGAACAGTCCCCCTGCGCCTCCCGGCGGCGCCATGCGCTTGGTCCGCGGCAGCAGCTGCATCTCCAGCTCCTCCGCCGCCCGCTTCTGCTGCGCCGCCGCCGCTGACCCCCCACCGGGAGGCTTGGCGGCGCCACGCGAGGGGGAGGAGAGGGCCGAGGCGGCGTGAGCGTGGGAGGGGGTGAGGCCGGCGCGCATGATGGCGCCGAGCTGACCACTGAAGTCGATGCCGGCGGCAGACGCGGAGGGGGGGACAGTCGCGTGGGAGGGGGAGGGCGCGGGGCCAGTGCGGGCGAAGGGAAAGGCGGAGTGGGACGGCGGCAGGTGGTGGTCCAGCGGGTGCGCGGAGAGCGACGAGAGCGCGGCGGCGGACTGCTGCATGGCGGTCGCTGGGGCGAGCTCCAACGCCGCCAGGCCTGGTGGGGCAGAGGGCACGGGACGCGCGGACGCAGGGGGCTACAATGAGACTGGTCGCGCGAGGCTTTAACACCCACGCGGCAGTGCAGCAGTGGCGCAATGGCGCGGCGAGGCATGTGATTCACGCGAGCGATGAGGCCATCCGGCAGCACCGGCTACTACCTGCCAGGCAGCACCGGGTAGAGCGGCGTACCTGAGTGCTGGGCAGCACCGGGTAGAGCGTACCTGAGTGCTGCTGCAGCCACGACGACAGCATCCCCGACGCCGCGTCGTTGCCGCCCATTGCGCCACCGCCGTTGCCTCCGCTGCGCGCCGAGCCCTCGCAGCCGGCCAGCGGCAGCACCGCCATCTGCCCCTGTCCCTGGCGCGCGTCGCTCGGCGCGGTGCTGCCGCTGACTGCACCGCGCGGAGCTGCGTTCGCGGACTGACCGAAGAGGCCGGGGAAGTTGAGCAGCCCGGCGGAGGCAGCCGCCGCCTGCGGAGTGGCGTCTCCAGCCGCGGTGGGAGCGAATGCGGAGAAGTTAAAGCGGGACCTGGTAGCGGGTGAGAGATCAGCAGCAGGATGCGCGGATAGAGATAGGTCGCGTGGCGCCGACACGTCGGACGACACCGACACACCCGCTGCAGCCGGCGCCGCCGATGCGTGGTTCCCGGCGAGAAAGGCGTCCATGGACGGCAGCGACGAGGGCACGCCCGCCGCCGTGGCGGAAGCGTCCCCCAGCAGCCCGAAAGGCAATGCGCCTGCCCCGCTGCTGCCCGCCGCGGCGCTAGAGCCACCGAGACCGCGCGAGTAGAGGAGGTAGGGATAAGCCGCGGACATCCCCATGCCCATGCCCATGCCCATGGGGTTCAGCGGCCCCATCGCGCTCGCCGCCCCCACTGCCGCGCTCATGCCCGCCGCCGAGCCGCCCGACGCCGGCGCACGAGAAGAAGCCCACGGGCGCGCCGACGCCGACTCGATGTTGAACTCCTCGCCGGGCGTCAGCTGGCGCGAGGCGTGCGCGCTGCGGGGAGAGAGATCGGAGCACGGAGACGACGAGAGAAGGAAAAGGTTAAGCGTCGCCAAAATTTTCCCAGACCAGAAATACGGTGTAGGTAGCGTGTAGGCACAGTAGGCACGTCAGCAGCGAAGTAGTCTTGCTATACGAACAACTACAGGTACAATGTAAACGAAAGCCACATGCTCGTCGACGGTCGACGAGCAGAAATGAAGGCCGTGGCTTGAAGGACGCTAGAGCTCGCAAGCCATGGATGCGGGACACGGAGCGCGGCGAGGCTCACTGAGGCGAGGATTGGTGCAGCTGCGACTGGAGCTGCGCGAGAGCCGACTCGATGTGCGCCGTGGAGGTGGCGGGCGCGGTGAAGGCGGTGCTGGGTTGACCTTTGTGCATCACAGGGTTGATGTTGGAAGCCAGCACGCGAGACCAGAGACTCGTTAGATCGTCCTCTCTTGCCATTGCCAACTGAAGAGTTGGATTTTGGATACACCTGTAGTGGTGGTACACAGGAGTGCTTATGCAAGATGGCAAGTGTGGAGTGGAGTGGAGCAGCGAAGAGACAGGTCGCACACAGGACCTGGCGGATTCCGCCCACCACTGCTTGCGTGCGCGAGCCGTTTCACAAGTGGTTTGCTCTGCCCAGCTGCGAGCGGCTGCTGTGTGTCGCTGGCGCTTGTGGAACAGCTGCTTTCCCGTACGGCTGCCCTTCGCTTTCACCCGGGAATCTTACAGTGATGGCTGCCCTGGATTTATCACTCCCGCTCGCTGGGCATTCGTAAGTGCAAATTGTCAAATGGAGGTTAGTGTACTGTAGAGCAATTGAGGTTGTTGATGGAAATTTCGGTGCCTTGACGACACACCCCAGACAATACTGAAATCGTCTCTGCGTGTCCTGTACTGGGCTCCCAAATTGCCCAGCTGCCCTTGCCTGCTCAAGCGGGGACCTTGCGGTCAGGTTGAGACGACTGGACCGGAAATTGGGAGGTGCACGCACACGCCCCGTGATTGCTGGAAAGGAGGAAGAGGAACCATGAGTACAAAGCTCGCAAATCTATGCACGGGCAGGGCACACCAACAGCTCGGAAGGAACGCAAGTGCTCCCCAAACCAAGGCAGAAAGCACACCCCAAGTTGCCCAATCCGATAGTCCGCATCAAGAAAAGTCCTTGACCGTCAGGATGTTCTGTCACTTGAACAAGTTTCGCTTGAGCCCCTCAAGAAGTTGGTTTGAACTCAGGAAAGAGCATCTGGATGGCCGAGAGCTGGTTGAGGTTGAGGTGTACTCCGCCTTCCTGCTTGTCCAACACGGGCAAAACTGCCACGAAATGTTTTTCTCCCAATACACTAGGATACGTGCCCGAGAAGTGAACCGTCAAGCTGCACTCAATTTGAATGCTTTTGGCGCTTGGACAAAACAATTCCAGGCCAGACTGGGCTGCTCGCTCACTTACACAAGCCAGCTCTGCCAACCGGCCGGCCTGCAGTCCGTCTGCCAATTGGCTTGGTTAACCGCAAGGGAGCGAGCTTGTTGGGGGGCTCTCCATCAGGGTTTATTTTCCACGGGTAACTACTCGGATTTAGGCAAAATAACCGGTGATTTCTCGACCGATTCCGAATTCTGACGTGTTCGTTTTCCATGAAGCCGGATACTGACAGGTTCAGGATTAGCCGCACCCGTGAAGTAATGTGCTCGTTTTGCGAAGTACCCTGATTTGACGGGTGAGCCCCTGGCAATAACCGATCATAGAGCTACAAAACCCCCCTATTCCCCACCGCCCAGTACCACCCCCGCCCTATTCTCTCCCTTTCCCCTCCAGAAAAAATAGAGATCCCTAGGTTGGATGGCGGTTCACGCGAGTGAGAAGACTGAGGGGGGTTTTTAGATTACCGGTAACCCTTACTAGCGTTTTACTCTTTGGGATCACGTTTAGCCCCTATTACGGAAGGATTTCTCGCCGATCAAACCCCCCAGGGACAGTTTTTTGTTCTTCGAGGTTAGTTCTCTCCACAGCGAACCACGTGTAACAATCTCCTTAATCTTGGGCAGAGGGCAGAAACAATAAAACCCTTATGGGCCTGGCATGGCATTCTGGATGGCATCAACCCTAAACTCGCAAAAGGGCCACGAATTTAGGGTTGATGCCCACCAGAATGGCATACTCGCCCCTATGGGTTTTAGTTTTTTTCTTGCCAGCTAGCCTGCCCGAATGTTGTCAGCCATTTTCAGTAGCACTACAGATCCCACAATATCGCAGGAAAACAGAGTTCAGTAGCCCCAAAGTGACGGAGCAAGGAGATTGTGACGCGTGGTTTTCTGTGGTGCGAACTAACCTCAAAGAACAAAAAACTGGCCCGGGAGGGTTGGAACAATGAGAAACCCTTCCGTGAAAGGGCTAAATGTTACTCAAAAGAGTAAAACTCCAGTAAGGGTTACCGCTAACCTAAAAACCCGACTGAGGGCGCAGAGCCTAGAAAGGAGTTTACATAGGTGAATTGGTGTGTTTCGTCCTTACAGAGCCCTCGAACTGGCAAATTTGACGCTACGAAAAAAATATCGGATCTGACGTGTTGTTTTTGTCTCCCGGCTTCTGACGTCTAACTTCTACGGTACACCCGTGAAATCCAGCTTTCCAAATAAGGGTAAGCCCTGCTCTCCATCCACCCACAGTCAAGTTGAAACTCTCATGGACTGTACCAATGGGCGCTTGGCAGGACGCGATATTCGTGTTGATTGGCTGGAAATTAGCCAATGTTAGACACGTCAGCAACGAGCAATTGCGTCGCAAATTGTGAAATGCAAGCTTGGCTCCAGAAGCTCAGACAACGACAAAATTTGATGAAGGGTATGATGACAAATAACCGCAATCGCAGATGCATGCCCCTAGCAGAAAATTTCAGAGAAACGATGCTGAGGTCAGCCCACGTCCAACCACGCTCTACGATATTTTTCCTCCATCGCACAGAGGCCGATTGGCGATCAGTAGGGCTGAGCTTGACTATTCAGGGTAACTAGTCATGCAACACTATGAATAAACCTACTCAGTACGTTCTCAAAAAAAATGTTGCTAAACAATCAACAGAATTTGCCCGGGAGTTCTGTTGAGAACCGGAAAAGCGCTCTGATCTTCTGTACTGAAAGTTCCTTGATGCTCCGTAGGGATTTTCAGGGGGAGTTCCAGAATCCAGGGAAGTTTATGTCTTCGGAAGGGTTATTTCGAACGATACAAGGTTGTACACTTCTATTTCAGTTCTCGCTCCTTTAATAGTCGACACGTATTTATTTACAAGCCCATTGTTTCGAACACACGGGAAACGGCCCAGCCCACAGAAGCCCAATGATCTCCAACGGTTACCACATCTGATACTGAGACCTCCAAACGTGCAGATGGGACGTTCTGAGGCCTCACACTGTTGCCCGAGGACGCAAAAGAAACAACAACGGTCACCCGATTTAGGTAACCAGACTACAAGGGGTATGCTCTATGCTCCAAATCCGCGACTCGCAAATATGGACTACGACGAATAAGAGCGGTTCACTACGGGCAAAATGGATTATCGAGTAGCACGTACGGTTTTAGGTGGGGTGGCGTAGGTCGTTTTACTCTTTCTGTTCACGATGGGTGCCTTGGCGTATTGGCCCTTGGGCCAGGTTACGAACGACTTCGCCGCGTGTCATGTGAGGGCTCATGTGGCTTCTTAAAAAACGTTCAACAAAATTGTCGTCTGGTTAGAATTACCGCGGACAATAGAAGTAACACCTCGTTCTCGATTTCCGCAAGCAGCGCTGGCTCAAAACGCGCAAGTCATATAATTTGTAAAACCCTTTTCGTGGTCTCACGAAAAGGGCTTAACGTAACGAAATTATGACGACTCGCCTGATCGGTTTCGTTAACCAATCACACACTTTCACGAAAGTGAAAAAAATCATGTAAGAAAAACATTTCCGAAATGTGCATTGGTTAATGGTGATTGAGGGACCGTGGGTCGTGTTTTCGCATTCGGTACGGACCTGTTCGTGTCACGCGGAAAGCCTGAATATTTACGGCATTGGTTATAAAATATGGAAAACGCCTCGCATGTTCTTGACACGAGGATTAGAATAGGACCGAAATAATAAGACAGAATGGATGGAAAGGGGGTACGGATTCATGCCCAGGTCAGCGCGCATACAAAAGTGCTAGGTGGACGGGGGTACCAGCTAGCTGTCGGCCCCTGGTCCGTCGTGATTACGTCTTATCGCCCTGGCAAGCGCGTATTGGCCAGGCAATTCCAAGCACAGTTCACGATAAATTTCCGAACTCGCACTCGCGGGTTGGTTGGCGACACTCGCATGCTGGGATCGCACCCAATTCGGATGGCGCGACTCGATGGTCGGTGGCATTATGCGACTATCGTGATTGGTTACAATGTTTTTTTGCGCTTTTTTAGCGGTCAATAGTAGATGTATACCGCACAGATGGAGTACATCGTGGCCGATCTTATCGAATTCCGGACCTTGGAGTATTACATGGAGTAAAATGTCGTTGACCTAATGGCATACCCCCTGTATCGTATATTGCCTCATTTCGCCGTTGAAAGTTTTTTGCTCGATTTTGGATTATCCACTCGAAAACAAAGTGAGCTTGAAAAAAAAAATGTATTGAGATTGCTGCTGCAGCTTTCGTTCTCCAATTTGAGTTATTTTCTCAACTGAAGCAGATGTTTCACGCACTAAAATTGCCACAAAACAAATGTCTTTGTTACATGACACTAACTTTGTTATCAATAATAACGGAGAGTGCACGGACTAATAATGACGAGTACAAACATGAGATCCTAGCAATATATAGCGAGAGCCCTAGCTAGGCGAGGACCCTGGAGGTCTGGGTTGGGTACAGGCGCGGTCGGAAGGGCAGGAGGCGGCGCGAGCCAACCGTAGAGTAACGTTGGAATCGGATTGGGCCTTGTTTTCTGAGATTTCGGGTATACGCGATGCAGTAGGACCCGGTAGGGAATAAAATTCATTGTATTACCACCCTAAGAAAGGTGGTCAATAGCGGGAACGCATGTACGGATCAAGTAGGATTTGAGCACCGAATGGTCCTGAAGTGAGTCGGAAGTGACCTAGGTGCCGTCTTCACATGTACGATTGGTCCAGCGTGTTAACTAGGAACTAGGACGCCATGAAAGTGGCGTGAGGTTTTAGCTAGGAGCTAGGCAAGGTGATGACGAGAGAAAAGGGGTTGGACTAGAAAGAGAGAGGGATACAAGGAGGGGTTTGTACCCTCTACAGTAGAGCTCAATAACCTACCAAGACTAACAATTGTATAACACAATATATAATTTAACACAGCGGACCAGGAAAATCCACGTCGCGGCCAGTGGTGTCGAGGCAGATGCGATAACTCAGAAGTTGGAAGTGTCATAACTCAATTACTAACCACTGAGCTTAAATGGCTTGTTAAGTAACGAGTCAGTGCGCCCACAACCCCCCAGGTCGAGAGGCCAGTAGCTCTTCCCCGAGGATCTCAATGGAACCTCAGCGGGTCTCTCGACACCCCCCCTCGCTGGGATAGGCGGAAGACACAAGCGCCTCTGCATCGCTTGATTCCGTGTCAGAACTCGATCACAAACCACTAAGCTAAAAGGGCATGTTAAGAAGTGGGTCAGTGCACCCACAACCCCCGAGGCTGAAAGATATGTAGCCCTTCCCCGAGGATCTCAAGGGCAACCCCAGCGGGTCTCTCGAAAGGACGGGCTCGAGGGTCGGTTTGGCCATGGGGCGGACACTGGGGACGGCCGCTGGTCGTGCGCCTGCTGACGTGTTGGATTCGTAGGTACGAAGGAGGCTAGCGTGTTGGAGACATAGGGATGAAGGATGGTGACATGGAAGACGTCATGAATAAGCTACTCGTCCGATAGTAACAATTTGATCATGACAGTTGTCACCATTTTGACGATGCAGAATGGGTTGCAGAATCTGGGCCGTAACTTGGATGGCATGGGTAGCGGAGGTTCTTTGTGTCAAGGACTAATTGCCCAGCCATCATGGTAATATTACGGCTATGAAGGTCGATATAGCGTCTGGCAGTACCGAGGCAGGGAGGGCGGGGAGAGACGCGTGGAGACCAGTCACTAGACCGTGCTGTACAATATGACGCAGCCGAAGGAGAGCAGGATGACCTAAGCAATGGTGCCACAGGAATGCCGGGTAGGTAAGGGAGCGATACGAGCAGGACGCAACGACCTGGGTGGACACATCTACTAGGGGGAACTCCGTATGCAGTGTAAAGAGACTGGACGCTGGGTCGCGGTCAAAGGTCGCAAGACGGGCGCCAGTGGTTGCATACCTGTCGTTGCTAGGGAGCGTTGTGGTGATATCGAGGTTCTGAATATGACCGACACCAACCAAGTTCCTGGAAAACGTGGGTATATGCAAGCCGGTAAGGGAGCCGGACAAGACATTTGGACAAGGGAGGGTCGTGGCGCTGCGGGCGATGACTGCGGCAGGTAAGTCTGTTAAGGAGCCTGGTACCAGTGCAGGGAGCGGTGTAACTACAGTGCGGTTTCGGAAGCAGCAATGAGACGCGAAGAAGTCCAGTGTGAAGGAGAGGGGTGGGGAGCTTAATCTACACACAGCAGTGGATCCTAGACTTCTCACAACAGTGGGGCCTAGACCCCCAGGTCCCCAGAGGAGCCACGTGGGCCCCACGGCAGCGACTACCCCAGGGCCCAACCACCAGAGCCCCCACCACGCCCAACACTTCAAGGACCCCACTCCGGCTGCTGCCGCCACTGTTGCTGTTGCTGTGGCGGCTGCTCCTGCTGCTGCTGCTGCTCTCCCTCCTCCTCTGTACCCGCCCCTCCGCCAACTCCCGGAGACTCACAAGTGCCCCTACCGCCTTCCGATGCCCCACGACCACGACCCCGCCGCGAGTGCCCGACAGTTCGGTCACATGCTGTGACCGCTGCAGCGGTCTCGACGATAGAGCCGAAGGCACTAGAGACATGGACTTGGGACGGAGAGAAATCGTAAAAAATAGGGGCCACCACCGTATCAATGGACTCGGCGATGGCACGGAGGCGGGTCTCGACCTCTGTCGGGGAGAAAGGTCAATGGTAAGGTCTGTCGGGTGCAGTGCACGGAGAGCATTACGGGCAGGAGCGAGGCAGTCAGGGAGGCGGTGGTGAGGAAGTAAATGGTGGCGAAGGTTGAGGTGAGAGGGGGGGGTTGCGCGACGAGCTGGTCCTTGGAGCAGGCTGCGTAGCAGACCTCGAGTTCGCGGAGGTGCGCGACGAGATCCGCGACCGTGGGGAAGGAGGCCAAGTCGGGGAAGCAGAACGCAAGGAGGAGGCGGTCAAGGGCGGCAGAGGACGGGGACGAGCAGCGGGCGACGACCACATCCCAAAGGTCCTTTGCCGTCTCCCGCAAATCAAAGTGTGCATACTCGTCGACCAGCAGATATCGGGTGATGGCCAGCAGCGCAGCGGTGTGGCAAGACCGCGAGATGGCGTGGGCAGTCTGGGCAGGTGCTTACTCCTCACGCTGCGTCCACGTCGTAATGGTAGCAAGAGAGTCAAGACGGAGGAGGGGATAGCAGCTTACCATTAATGTGGGCCTTCAGCAGCTCGACGTCCACTCGCTAGCTCACCAGCTGCCGACAGAGGCGAGGCGCCGGGGACTAGAGTTAAACAACGGCGCCAGCGCTAGTGGCAGTGGTGCTGGCGGCTGCAGGTGCACTACTGGCAGCATCGGCAGTGGCGGCTGTGCCTGTAGAGGTGGCGAAAGTGGCTAAGGCGACTGGCTAGCAGTAGGCGGGCGACTGGCTGGCAGCTGGCTGGCGGCTGACTGGCGGCTGGTTGGCTGCGGGCGGGCTGCTGGTGGCGAGTGGCTGGCTGGTAGCTGGTGGGCAGCTGGCTGGCGGCGGGCTGGCGGCTGGCGGCTGGCTGGCCGCTGGCTGGCAGCTGGCTAGCGGTTGGCTGGCGACGGGCGGGCGGCCGTGAGCAGCGGCAGCAGCAGCAGCAGCGGGCGGCTGTGGCAGGCTGCAAGCAGCGGCAGTAGGCGGCAGCAGCAGCAGGAGGCAGCAAGCGACGGGCAATGAACAGGCAAGCGGTGGCAGCGGGTGGGTGCGCAGCGGCTGCGGCTGCGGCTATGGCTGGCGGTGGCGGTTGGGGCTGCGGCGGGCGGCTGCGGCGGCGGGCGGTGAGCAGCGCGGCAGTGGCAAGTGGCAGCGGCAGGCGGCAGGTAGATGGCTAGCGACAGGCGGCCAGCGGCAGGCGGCCAGCAGGCGGCAGCCGGCAGTGGCAAGTGGCAGCAGCGAGCGGCAGCCAGCAGTAGTGGTGAGCGGTAGGCCAGTGGCAGCGGGCAGGCGGCGGCGCGAGTAGGCAGGCGGCAAGCGATTTAGCTGCGTGTGAGCAGGCAGGTGGCGGGGCTGCAGGCTGCGGGCTGCGCTGGCGGCGAGTAGCGGGCAGCGCACAGCGGCGGCGCGCAGCTGGCAGCGAGCAGCGGGCAGCGCGTAGAGCGGGCGGTGCACAGCTGGCGGCGAGCGGCGGGCAACAGCGAGCAGCTCGTACAGCGGGCGGCGCTCAGTTAGCGGCAAGCAGCGGGCAGCGTGGAGGCTAGGCTAGGGCGCAGGCTAGGGTCCTAACCTAGTCTAAGGAGGTTGGCTGGGGTGGGAGAGTAGTGGGGAGGGGACTGGGGAGCACCTAGGGCAGAAGTGTGGAGGCTAGGCACTAACCTAGCTCGGTACCATATCGAGAGAGAATCAGTTGATTGGAACAAGGGCAAGCACAGAGGCTATAGTTCATATACACCTAGCATATAGATATATATGTACTCTAACACTTCCCTGGTGCAGACGGCACACATGTTCAACATTGGCCCCAGCGGTGGGGAGGGGGGGGGGAGTGGGGGGAGGGGGAAGGGGGGCTCCTTGTCGCATGCTTCTGTCTTCGTGCTTCATCAATCCCACTCTGGTTGCATGCAGGGCAGCCGCATGAGTGCCATGCACCGGCTGGCATGTCCATGTGCCGTGCAGACAGATCACAGGCAGCCTATGCTTGTCAGATACCGTAGCACCGTACCAACCAAGATGCACCATTGCAAAGGCTACATAGGAAATCACACACGTCAGCTTCTGACGCCAGCTTGGAGGGCATGGTGGAGCCAGCAGTAACCTGTCGCTGATGACCGAGGCTCATCCGCCTGACACTGCAGCTGGCCTGAACCAGCACACTGCAGCTGGCCTGAACCAGCACACTGCTACCGCTATCAGCACTGCCCTTGCCTCAAGGGCCCTGGCAGGCATCAAGGTGGGGTGGGGTGGATGCGTGGGATGTGCGAGACGGCGTGGCGCCGCAGCGCCCACGGGCTGACCCCCGCCTTGTGCGCTGCCATCACGCCCAGCGCCTCCCAGTAGTTGCGCACCACCACCTGCCACGCGCACGGCGCAGGGGAGCACCAGAGGCAGACAGTGCAGCTGTTATGCCCAGCACCACACCCACTGGAGTTAAGGCTAGGGTGGGGCCCCGTAAACTGGAGCGCAAGCAGAGAGATACATCACGGGGACTCGACTCACAGCAGGGATAGCAAACTTTGAGGGCGGGTCGTCCATGACGGTTGAGTTCTCCTCCACGGCGATGAAGAGAGGCTGGCAGGCAGCAGCACGGGGAGGAGTGCAGGACGAGGGGTGAGAGCACAGCCAGCCACAGCGGAGCAACCATGTCAAGTCCCATAGGGTGCACCATAGCCAAGCATGCTCCCATTCAACCCAGCACACTGCAGTGATGGCAGCACATCCCTGCAGTGATGGCAGCACATCCCGTGACACTCACTGCGCCGCCCTGTCGGTGTGCAAGAGCCTGTGCTGCGTGGCCCCCAAAGGCGTCCACGGGCAGCACCACACAGTCCACGTCCTCCGCCCACACCACCCCGCTGCCACCGCTGCCACCGCTGCTGCTGCTGATGCTGCTGATGCCACTGCCAACATCTCTAGTGTAGTCCCAAGTCGCATCAATGCTGGTCGGAATGCTGCTAAGATTCTCCACCCTCTCCTGCCCTCTTCCCTCAACCTCCTCCCTGCGCCCCTCCCCTGCAGCCGTGGGAGGTGCATGTCGGGAGATGAGGCGAGGGGCGCGGGAGAGGCCAGCGAGCACACAGGGGAGGAAGGTGTGCCCGATCTGACGGGGGGGGGCACGGGGGGAGGGGGAGATCACAAGGAAGCACGGGTTGGGGCAGCCACGAATGGCAATCTTTTATCCCGCCCATCTGACTTCACAAGGTCCCGCAGTGCCAGCAAGGGACACCCATCACACTCTCACATCCCTTACCCACATCTCCTTTTCCAATCCATGGCTTCGCCCTCCCCATCCCCTCCACACAGCAATCAGCACTCACTTCTTCAGCGGCAGAGCGTGGGGCGATGGACGGCAGCAGTGGCAGCGGCGCCAGGGCGGGAGCGTGGGCGGCAGGCAGCTGGAAGTGGCTGACGACGAGGTGGCTGATGACGGCCTCCACGCCGCCCAGCACGTCCACGCCCTGCCCCTCGCGGTACTGCTGCAGCGCCTCCAGCCCGTCGTCGGGGAAGCGCGCCACGATGCCCACCGCGTCCACGCCGCCGCCCGCACGCGCAGGGGGGGATGCGGGGGAGAGCGGGTGTGCGTGGGAGGGCGGGTGCACCGCGAGGGGCGCATCGAGCAGCGTCTGCACGGCGCGCAGCAGCGAGTCAGCCTCGTCTATCCGCCCCGTGGACGCGCCCGTTGCCATGTCCACCCACTTGTGCACCTGGGGAGGAGGGGGGAGGGGGGAGGGGGGGAGAGGGGGGAAGAGAGAGAGAAGACGGGTTAGAGTAGAGGTGGGAGAGAGAAGGAAGGGAAGGGCGAGGTGGACAGAGTGAGAGGGGAGGGGGGAGTGGGAGCGATGCAGCAAGAGGCACTGACTGACTGTAACAGTGATGATCGCTGACAGGCACTGACTGGAACAGCGATGATCGCTGACAGGCACTGACTGGAACAGCGATGAGCAGCGGGCGGTCGCCTTGAGAGGGCGGTCGCCTTGAGAGGGCGGTCGCCTTGAGAGGGCGGTCACCTTGAGAGGGCGGTCAGTGACGGTGTACCCCACGATGTCGATCCCCAGGGTGGCTCTCGCTGCGTCTGCCACCTGCAAGCAGGCATGCGGGGCACGGGGCACGGGGCACGGGGCACGGGGCACGGGGCACGGGGCACGGGGGAGTAGGGGGGACATGGGGGGGGGGGGTGTGGCAGGGGGCAGAGAGAAGGGGCGATGCAGAGGGAACAATGCGGCACCCGCACTCAGCAGCCAGGAAACACAACATCGCACCATCGCACCATCGCACCATCGCACCATCGCACCATCGCACCATAGCACCATAGCAGCATCGCACCATCGCAGCATCCCAGCATCGCAGCATCGCAGCATCGCAGCATCGCAGCATCGCACCATAGCACCATAGCAGCATCGCACCATAGCAGCATCGCAGCATGCCAGCATGCGGCGGCTACGAGGCGATAGCGACCTAGGTGTGCGCGCATGAGAGGGCAGGGCGGCGCATGAGATGGCGGAGTGGCGGCACCTGCAGGTGGCGCAGGAGGAGGTGGTCCTCCACGGCCTGGTCGAACACCAGCCCCACGCGGTTGCCGTGCGCCGGCTGCAGCCCCCACTCCCCGCGCGCGAACCGGTCCAGCGCGTGGCCCTCCACGTACAGCGCGCGCGGCAGCGGCCAGTAGAGCATTGCGCCGTTGAGCACGTTGGGGTGCGCGATCAGACAGTCCGCCACGCCGCTGAACGCGCGCGCCACCGGCAGCGCGTCCCCCGCGAACCCGCCGATCTCCGCGCCCACGCCCGTGGGCACTATCAACACCGTCACGTAGGGGCGCTGGGCGGGGGAGGACTGCGCGGAGACAAGGAGGGGGGGGAAGTGGGGGGGGGGGAGGGGGAAGGTGGGGGGGAAGTCGGGGATGGGGATGCCGGGGACGACGAGGAGGCTGCGAGCGGAGTGGATGCGCCCAGCGCTGTTTCTCTCACCATGCTGCATCGCGTCCCACGCCGCCGACGTGTTTGCGATTCATTGGTGCCACGTGTCACTGCTAAAGCCTTGTTCCGCCACTCCCCATCCCCGCAAAGCCTCCCCGCCCCGCTGTTTCCACCGACGCGGGCGGTCTTAGTTGGCGGAGCCAGTGGCGGCGCATTGCGAGAGCGCGGGTGCGCAGAGGATGCGCATGCGCGGCCCGCCGTGCCTACAGAGGGGCCAATTTCATCGCTGGCAGAAAGAGAGGGTCGGCAGTGCGCGATAGAGGCGGGGCGGGGCGCTGGAAGGGGGTGCATGGCGCGTGGGTATGTCTGGCTGGATGCCGCCGCTATTTCAGAGGGAAGCCTGCGGTGCTGGCTGTGGCGCCTCTCCCACTACTCGCCCAGCTTTCCTACATACCCACGTAAAGGCTCGCTCATGTGCAAGATTTATGCTGGTTGCCCCCCAATTCCCTCCCAACAGCGGCTAGAGGTTCGGGGTTTCAAAATTCGTTTCTCTCCTCCTCGATTCTGTGTTAGCAGCAGAAAATGAACGAATTCTCGTACTATTTCAAACTTACTTTCTGGAAGTATAATAAGAAACACCAATCTGCCGTCAACAGTAACGGTCAGCCCCATGGTCAACTTCTAGCCCCGTTATTGTGCTCTCCCATTCAGCCAAGGCTTCTCGAGGCTCCATTCGCGAAGCCTTCAAATTCGTGATGATCCCAAGGTTGGTGGCCGTGCTCCCTAAACCTGGAATCCGTTGGGCATATTCCGCAAGCACGCTCCGCTCTGATAGCTGAAGTTGCTGTTCGAGTTAGCCGTTGCTGCCTAGGGATCGCTGCAGCGACCAGTTCGTTGCAAACCGACTCTTCGGAAAGCGGGAGCGAAGCGAACACAGCAAGTTATTGGGCCCTGAATTGATGCAAGCACAATGCTAGAGTAGGATCGCTGGCGTGGATTAGGAGCGCATCACGAAGTAACCACCATGCCTTGGGATTGTCGCATGGTCGCGACTCCACGCGTGCACTCCGATTGAGTGTGAGAGCGAGACAGGCGCCGGCGGGGACAGGAACAGAACAGACGGGGCAAGGGCAGGAGCCGACCTCGACGAGCTGCTTGCATGTGTGCGCTGGGGAAGTCGAGTTGGCGAGCACACCGTATCGGAGTCGACTGTAGCGAGGCGTCGTCTAGAAGCGACCATCACAGGCCGCCATGAATCACACGGGCATCCTCGCCGCGCTCTTCTACGGTACGCGTCAGGCGATGGGGGATTCTGGCCCTTCCGTCTCGGCCACGAGCATGGTACCCCGTCATGCTTGCACCCATCATTGTCGTCATCCAACCCCCCACGTGCCCCCCCACGTGTCCCCCACGTGTCCCGCTCGGCAGGGTTGATGTCGGTGGCGTCGGTGTTCATCAACAAGGCGCTGTTCCACGTGTACCGCTTCAAGTTCCCCTACACGCTCGTCTTCTTCCAGACGCTCTTCACGCTCGCGCTGCTCGCCGCCATGCGCCAGCTGCGCCTCATCCGCGTCACGCCCTTCCACCTGCACGTGCTCCGCCGCGTGAGAGCCTCGCCGCTTCACCCGCACGCCCCTTGTCCAACTCCCATTCCCCCCCTCTCCTACCATCTCCACTTCATCCCCATTCCCCCCCTCTCCTGCCATCTCCACTTCATCCCCATTCCCCCCCACGACCTCCCCCCCTTTCAACCCCCAAGACCCCCTTTTCTCCCCCCCTCCCTTGCTTTCCGCGTGCAGGTGTCGCTGCTGTCGTTCGCGTTCCTGCTGAAGCTGCTGCTGGACATGGCGGCGCTGTCGCGTGTCAACATCCCCATGTACGGCGTGCTCAAGTCCGCCACCACGCCCTTCGTGCTGCTGCTCGACTTCCTGCTGCGCGCCAAGCGCGCCTCCCCGCGCATCCAGCTCGCCGTCTACACCACGGCCCTGGGCGGCGTCGTGGCGGGCACGGGCGACCTGACGTTCGACCTGCCGGGGTACGTGCTGGCGCTGTCGTCGGCGCTGGCCACCGCTGCCTACGTGGTGATCGTGGGGAAGCTGGGCGAGGAGCTGGCGCTGGACTCGTTCACGCTGCTGCTCTACAACAACTGCTGGTCGCTGCCCTTCGCCCTGCTGCTCGTCGCCGCCAACGGCGAGCTGCCCGCCGTGCAGCGCGTGCTGCAGTCGCGCGACGCCGTCTTCCTGCTGTGCTTCGTGCTGTCCTGTGCGTCCGCCTTCATCCTCAACCTCGCCACGTACCTCTGCACTCTCGTCAACGACAGCCTCACCACCAGCATTGTTGGTGCGCCCTCCTCCCCACTCCTCCCCTTTTCTCCCCTCTCCCCCCCTCTCCTCCCCTCTCCTCCTCTCTCCTACCCTCTCCTCCCCTCTCCTCCCCTCTCCTCCCCCTCCACACCGCCGACCTGCTTCCTGTGCAACCTTTACTTCCATCTGACGCCTGACTATTGAGCGCACAGTCTTTTCAATCACATCCTTCCCTAGCATTCATTAGCCCCTCTATGTGTGAGACCCCTCTCGCGGCAGGTCGCACCAAGTCCATCCTGCAAGGCTTCGGAGGGCTCTTCGCATTCGGAGATGTGCTGGTCAGTTGCTCCTTACCCCTGATCCCTCTCTGTCCTCTCATTCTCTCCCTCTTTCTTGGTCTCCCTCTGCCCCTGTCTGCCCCACGCCACACTTCCAACGACTCAGCCTACCTCCTTTGACTGAGAATCTCTGATCTGGCTGCCAATAGCAGCTATAGCTGCATTCAATATTTGCCTTTGATATGCTGGTTCATGAGTGCAGGTTAGCCCCACCAATCTTGTCGGCTTGATAGTGAATTCAGGAGGAGTGGGGTGGTATGCGTATGAGAAGTATGTGGAGGCGAGGGCAAAGCAGAAAGGGGCGTACTCCCTACTGGCAGAGCGCCACCACCACGATGCTGACAGCAGAACAACCATCGCTAGAGATGGCTCACAGGTGTGTGGGTGCACAAGGGAAAAGCGATCACGTGATGCACTATCGCATGGGATAATGCGCATGTTGCACAAATGACTAATGTATATTTGAATGTGTCTGTGTGTGCATGCATGGATGCGCGCGTTTGTTGTGCGTTGTGGTGTGGGCACCGGTCTGCTAATTGTGGGGTCTTGTGTGCATGTGTGTACTATGTTTCGTGGTCCTCACAGGTTACCATTGTTTTTTATGATCTTAAAAAGGACGACTTACCTCTGACATTGAATGGAGACACTAAGTCTCAAGAAACCTAGTTGTAGTGGGGCTGTCTGCATCCTTTTTTACACACAAGAGATGTATTTATGATGCCCCGGTATTTATATCGTTCATACCAACGTAGCATGTCCAGGTTGATCACGTTTCTGCATAGATCCATGAGAACGCAATGCAGTGAAATGATGAACAACATCATATGACAGGTTTGAGAAGAATTCGGAAAAATAACTGGTATAAAGTGACATTTCTATGATCTTCGTGGACAGGCTAGAAGTGGGGTGTAAATGCGGGTTATCGCACTCGACTTACAGTGAAGCTGATAAAAAATGCTCCCTGGAGAGCACCTGCACGAGCATCCGTTCCGCTCGTTGGGCGGAACTGCCCAACTGGTTGACTGATCCCTGGGGGATCTTTCTGAAGTGACCGCACGAACTGCTGCTGACAACGAGGCATTGGCCCGCACGGTACTGGTCGACCTGCAAGTGACTGGATCGAGATCTTTCAATGCAGCTAATCGACGGTCTCAATTTAGCCAGGTCAGATCTTCATGTTCCACTGCATTGGCAGCAACACACTGTCACATGCTTCGTGGCGATTCCGGCTCAGCAGATGTTCTTTTGGCGCGGCAATGTGTCAGCCTGATCCAGTCGGGGGATTGCACATATATCCTCTGCACCCACTCAATCCTCTTTCTCCAAACTTCTTTCCTTCCCGATCTGCATCATAATTTCCGCCATGGCTCAATCTGCGATTGTTGCCCAGATGGCCGAGTGTGGCGCACTCGGCGTTCGCGCTCAGTCCCTCTCAGTGGTTCGTCGAGTAAGCGTGGTTAGCTCTCTCACACTCAAGCGTCCCAGGGTTCTCCCAGCATCGAAGTCTTTCGGTGTTTCCCTCTCAGCCTTTTCAAGGCCCCAGGTCGTCAAAGCTGAGTCTGCCTCCCGGTTGAGAATTGTTGCGCAAGCCCAAGCAGATGCTGGCGCCGGTTCCGCCCCTGAGCCCAAGGCAGTTGCGACTACCGAGGCTGAGGACGCGGCCTTTAAGGTCAAGATCGGTGGATATTTTGCCCTGTGGTGGACATTGAACGTTGTCTTCAACATCTACAACAAGAAAGTGCTCAACGCCTTTCCCTATCCATGGCTCTGCTCCACCCTCGCTCTTGCTGCCGGAGTGTCGATCATGCTGCTCTCATGGGCTACGCGCTTGGTGGAGTTTCCCGACACCGATCTGGACTTCTGGAAGACATTGTTTCCCGTGAGTGTTTCATCCCACCATCAGTCGCACCTTCTCAATTCCTTTACTCCATGCCAAGACGCGTGATCTTGTGTATGCGGAATCGTTAACGCTTGGAGCGCATGCTCATGCTCGGATATGTTTCTCGGCAGGTCGCCGTCGCCCACACAATCGGTCATGTGGCTGCGACCGTGAGCATGTCGAAGGTCGCTGTGTCCTTCACCCACATTATCAAGAGCTCTGAGCCTGCCTTCAGCGTCATCGTCCAGACCTTTATGGGCGACCATTTTGCGCTTCCGGTCTACCTGTCCTTGGTTCCCATTATCTTTGGGTGTGGCCTCGCAGCGCTTACCGAGCTGAACTTCAACATGGGAGGTGGGTCTGGCTTTGTGTTCTCGGGAGTTTTGTGGTTCTTTCCTTCGTTCGAGGCCAACGTTTTCCTTGTGTTTTGAGCAGGCTTCATGGGTGCCATGATTTCGAATTTGGCGTTCGTTTTCCGCAACATCTTCTCGAAGAAGGGGATGAGCTCCGGCAAGAAAGTGGGAGGTCTCAACTACTACGCGTGCCTGTCCATCATGTCGCTCATCATCCTCATCCCCTTCGCCTTCTGGCAAGAGGGCCTCACGATGTGGACTTCCGGCTGGCAGACATCGATTGCGGAGGTTGGGCCAAAGATCGGCTGGTGAGTGGATGGTCTGATTCCTGAGTTCCATTACGTCCAATGAACAAAAAAATGGTTAGAACCGAACTAATAGTGGCATGCAATCTGATTTCACAGGTGGATTGCTGCTCAGAGCGTGTTCTACCACTTGTACAACCAAGTCTCCTACATGTCGCTGGATCAGATTTCGCCTCTGACGTTCAGCATTGGAAACACGATGAAGCGTGTGTCCGTCATTGTCGCGTCCATCATCATCTTTAGAACACCAGTCCGATTGATCAATGGCGTTGGAGCAGCCATTGCCATTCTCGGAACCTTCTTGTACTCTCAGGTAAGACCACCGTGGCTTGGTTTATGGCGAACAGAATTCTATTATGGATGCGAAGTGCCTGATGCTGTGTTCCTGGGTTGTGTGCAGGCGATTGAGGCTCAGAAGAAGGAAGCTAAGGCCAAGGCTGCTACCTCCTAATTTTGTGCTGTTGGCGCTGGATGTTATAGAAAATGTGTGTTGGTTCATGTCACCAGCATGTGCTGTTTCTGTACCTGTAGGCATCTTTCTGCTACCTAATGCTAGTGTAGTCCTTCGCCTAAAGGAGGGTCAACTTGTCCAATAAAAGTCTGATTTCTGCTACGCTAATGTCCTGAATCTCGCTGAACCCTTCGCATCTGAATTGAAAGGGCGGGGGGTGTGGTACTCCAAGTTCAAACGGCATTTTTTTGAATGCTGACCAAGTCTCTTGAAGACCATACCCCTTTCAACCTCTTCTGAAGTCTGAAGAAACGGACAGTGCAATTTGAACCCTAAGGGCCCTGCCGTGAGCTAGGGTCCTGGCCTAGAATTCACAGCGAACCTGCCATAAGAAAATTATGCTGTTTTGGCGTACCAGTATTTACCTAGTCTCTCCGAGGAGCAGACAAAATCCCACTTCGTCTAGAAGCACACCAAAGTTGTGTGCAGACAAGAGAGTCTTCCATGAGAGGAGATTGAGGGAACTTAAACTACCTCTACTAGTGTAGTCCTTGCAAATAACCCCAATGTCAACAGTGTCAACAGGAGACATTTGAATGTATGATTCCAGCCGGTTTGTTTCACCATCTGCAACAGCAAAAATATTGTCAGCAATGAAAGCTTTTACCAAGAACCAGCTTGTGTGTTGTCATACAAACCTTCAGCAGTTATGCAGGGATAGCTTGGAGGGCTAGCAATCCAATTTCTCGTGACAGTGTCACGCATGTGAGAACGGTCGGATGCAAATAGCTTGAAGAAGTTCGACGCTGATACTACTCTGTACAACCTGCATATCGAAAAGAATAATCACAGACAAGGCTGACTTTTGAGACGCCCTATATGGAAAGAAAACGGACAAGGCGTGGTGAGGGAAGCACAGAAGCCAAGCTCACAGCCAACCTTTGATAAGTATCTTGTAGAGGAAGAAAGAAACTTCTGCCCGCCCACAATGCCCGCTGTACGTACTCCGACGCTGGAGTGGGGAAGGCTAATGTGGTGTCGAGGTCCCACACAAACCATTCCGAGCACCCACTCCCATCAGACCCTGCTCTGGCAGAACATGGGCTGCCGTGCTTCACGTGCACGCACACGACATGGTAGTCCCACACCACCAGCCCCTGCTCCTCCCCATCTCTGCCCCTGCGCCGGCTCCCACCCTCTGGTCGGCGCATGCCGGCCCTCTGACACCACAGGGGAACCTACAGGCGCATGGCGCGGGAGAGGTGGGACGAGGAGAGCGGGTGGGAAGCTGACCCGAGCGAACGGATGGAAGGGAGATGCGGAAAGATACTAATACATGAGATGAATGGACTTCCTGTTGTCTCAGGCTGCCCACCGCACCTTGCGGTCAGCGTTGGATATGAAAACGACGGCCAAATCATCTACGTCTGCCACGCCCCGTGCGACGAGCGTGCGACAGAGCAAGTAAACGTTTTCCTCGCTGCAGCACATGGCAAGGCGGATGGGGTGGGGTAAAATGAGAGAAATCCATAGCGAGTCCCACAAGAACAAACGAGCTTCAGATTCGGCTTTCGCGCACCAGTAACAGGAAGTGTAAGTGAAGCCTTGTGGAGGTATGGAGATCGATTCTCTGTCTACCAAGCACGACTCTTGCTGCTCGTTTTCCAAGGCGGACGCCATTACCTCCAGACCCTCCACACCTACTCCTGCAGACCTCAAACCTACTATGGAGCAACAGGCAACTTGGGTGAAGAACCTAGAATTTTCTAACAACATGAAATATTTGCGCGTTTCGCGGCAGACTAGACTGAAGCTGAGAACCCATGGCTGGCGCTGACACAAGAAAAGCTGAATGAACAGGCCTGAAGCTGGAAGGCAGCGCTGGCTGGGCTGTGGATGTGGTGCGCTGTGGTGTGCGTTGTCGCGCGGTGTGGTATGGTGACTTCACGAACCATTCGCAATAATGACTGTGGTCGACCAATTACCGAGGCCTCACGAGTCAGAAGAGGGCCCAGCCTGCAGTGCTGATTGGCGGGAGTCATTCGCTTAGGGCGTGGAACATTTTCATGAACAGCATCTGAGCCAAATGTTCACCGTACTGTACCATGCGGATTCTACCAAAGAACATGGTCAAAACCCTCATAACTCGCTTCCCACCGTTCTGAAAGGTCAACCATGAGGTGTGCTCGTAAAAAATGTTCCACGCTCTTTCAGGGAGTGTTTATAGTGGGTGTCTCCCGAAAAAGTGTTATCCGAGAAGTGTTGGAAACCCATCTCAACCGTTATTTCGACAACTCAACGGTTAAGATGGGTTTTCAGCATTCTCGGATGCCACTTCTTTCGGGATGACAACTTCTAAAAACACGCCCTCAGTCCCGGCGAGTTCGTTTGCAACAAGGCTTCAGATTTGTTACTTAGCCACTCCTCAAAACCGGGTTCCCTACCGAAGCCACCCGTTAAATTCCGTTTTCGGCCAAAGTCATGCTCGTCAAAGTGCGAGTTCAAGCCAAAATCCCTCGAAGCTTACGTTTACAGCCCGTTTCGAGCCAGAATCGACCTGTAACCCCTGGGTTCAGAGATAACAGAATCCGTTAAAAAGGGAATTCAGGTTCAATTAGACTCGTTAAAGTATCAAAATCTGGAAACTTACCCGTCAAACATAGACCCTGGTTTGCACGCCAGCGTCAGCGGGGACGTCAGTGTCGCATCAGCGATGACTCGCCAACACTCACACAGTTGTGTGATGAGTCAGTGAGGCATCTGCCATGCGATTTCGCATCCCACCGTGCCTCAACTTCAGCCGAGAAATGTTGGCTGTGTTCTACAGGCATTCGACGTTGACGTCGACGTCGACATTGAGGAAGCTCCTCAAGCGACTTCAAGAGCACTGGTTACCACCCAAACCAGGTGCATTTTCCCAACCTCGCTAGGAAGCCACGCGACCAAATTGTGGAAAGCGCAAGCGAAAGGAGAAGAGATAATTTCAAAATTGCGCAAAAAATAACTGCTGCCCCAGGGCAGGAGAGAAATTATCGGGGCAAAATGACGAAAAAGGGTTCAGCTGAGATATGACTTGTTGGCGATGGGTTTGTTCAGCTGCTGTTTTTTTGCAGGGCAGGCCCAAGCTCGCGAGGGGGGGTAAAGTGGTGGCGGTTGTATTTTTGGGGTGTGGAGGCCTAGTGCACCCTTGCGGTTGATGTAACGCCAAACGCAAGGTGTACTTCGCGATTAAGCGAACGTCAGCATTGCGTCAAGTTTGCGTCAAATTTGCCAGGGAGGGAAGCGACGAGGGTGTTTCCCTGACGTAGATGTCATCCGTAGATGGACCTGTTCTGTAGGCATGTCGACGTAACTAGGTTCGGGTACGTTGTGCCAGGTTTGGACGGAAATTTGCGGGCTGACCTTCGATCCGAAGCAAAAAATCTCGGTTTCGGAAGGTGCTCTGATGTAATCTGCACTTTCCTTTTTTGCCTGCAGAACGTAGCCGTTGTGCATCATACATCCCCCCGAGGCGTGGCCTTCTCTTCTGTAAAACGTGGCAGTTAGCTATTTGTTTTGTTAAAATGCGCAAGGTCTCAACACCTCAGCAGCTTTATGAAATGCTGTGAAACACCTTTCACGTAGTATCTCGCTGAAAATAATAGCGGAGTACTAAAAGCATTGCAATAATCAACTCTAAAGCCTTCTATAGGACAGAGGGAAGGGGGCTGGTTGGGGGGCTGGCTGGGGTTGGGGGGCTGGTTGGGGGGCTGGTTGGGGGGCTGGGGGGGTGTTGCATGTGATACAAGTTCACTATCATTAGTTACATGAAGCAAACGCTGCTTGGCATCCAATCAACTCCAGCAACCAATAAGAAATTAGACTGAGAACTTCCATTCCTTCTCCAGCAGCAATGCTGGGCGCCTGCCACCATGCTTGCAGTGGAAGACGGCAGTGACCTGCACGCATTGAGAGACATTGGATGAATCAAGGAACGGAGAGCGGTAACCTCAACATGCAGCGCGAGCCTTACATCCTCTCACCTTGAAAGGGCCATCATCATCAATGTGCTTATGGTATTCGACTTCAGCCCGCTCCCTGTGATGCCAGTAAGAGACCTCCAGGTGATCCTTTTTCAGCTTCTGCTTGATCTGAAAGCCCAAGGCCCACTTCCCCTCACCGAAGTCGTACAGCGGCTTTAAGGTGGTGTCCTTGTAGTCCTGCTCCAGTCGCACCATCGGGCCATCCTTGGCGAAGTTGTGCTTCACAATCGCCCTGCTGTGGTCGCCCAGCTTAGCGTTGGCTTCCAGCGTCGTCACGCCGGGACCGTGGTGGTGGACGAATGTCAGCTTCACGGGCTTGTCGGCCACCTTGGTGTGCCCGTGGAATTGGAACCTTGTGTGCTGCAATGCGCCATGTAAGAAAATGAATGATTTCAGCTCATGCGAGAGCTCAGACGCTATACAAAATTGCGCATTCCTTATGGCTGTATTTCTTAACGCGCACCTTCTTGTGGAAGTGATGCTCGAGAATGAAATGGCCGGGCTTTTCCACTGCGATTTCCGTGTCCTCCTTGATACTTCCGACATTCCTCAAGGTCTTGTCCGTCAGTGAAAGCTTCAGCTTCAAGTCCTCGAGCCAGATGCCTAGAGTGCCCTGAAACTTCTCGGTCTCGGAGTTATACTTGGACTTGAAAGTGAGCTTCGTCATGGCGAAGACAAGGGAAAGGGATCTACAAGGAACCTGACTGGAGCAAGAACGCAAAATGCAGGACTGGGAGAAACAATTGAAGATTTTCACAATGGGCTCTGGCTGTGGAAGACTTCGCATTTGGCATTGTGGAAGGGCAGGGGGTGCTGCGGCTGGGGAAGAAGGGACATGGGCAGCCCTGCCGGGAATAGACTAGCTGTTTGTTTGAAACGAGTGGTTTCAGAAATACAGACCAGAAAAGCGTTCGAGTTTAGTAAAATGACGAAATACAAATTCTCTTCAGCTCGTACTTTCCATGTTTGGGGTAAAAGAAAGATGCAGAGTAGCTGGTAATTTAAAAACCGCTCATGACGTGGAGCTTGGCTTGTCAGCGTGATGCGCATGACCTGGACAAATGTGTCTTCCACGTGGAAACTTCCCAGTCTGGTTCACTGTGCCTCATCAGCGCTGACGTGCTGATGAGGCCACAATCCAGTGTAACCTATCTCGACGCCGCTTCCCGTACGTCCCGCCTTCACGAGATTCCCGCCACTGTATAGTCTATAACTCCTCTTTGCAAGAAGTTTCGCTAGTACTTGTAGGACCATTCCTTCGGTCCACTACACGAACATCAGTTTGGCTGTAGATACGTTCAAATTTTTAGGGTTTAGGACGCTCTGCAGCTCAGCCAACAGAAAACAAGGTTGTAGTACCCACCCACAGACCTTCATCCAAAGCGCTTCCATCACCTCGACAGATCGCATCGCCGAAGCTCCTTTCGGCTCGGATGGCGCGTAAGAAAGGCGCGAAACGCGGGGACGACGACGAGGAAGAGGTGCCCGCAGCCGCGCAGGCGGTAGAGCAGGAGACCAAGAAGGGCGGTAAGGCCGCGCGGAAGAACCGCAAAGGGAGGGCTGGAGACGAGGACGACTACGAGCTTCCCCCTGATGACGTGGCAGCAACTGCTGATGAAGTGGACGATGAGCCAGTGCCGCCAGCCAAAAACAAGGGCAAGAGCAAGGGCGGTGCGTCGGGGTTCGCTGCGCTGATGGAAGCCGAGAATGGCGGAGCGGCGGAGGAGGATGAGGAGGAGGAAGAGGAGGAGAGGGCGAGGGGTGGCAAGGGCAAGGGAGGCGGGAAGAAGGGCGGCAGGGGCGGGGCCGAGGACGAGGAGGAGGAGGAGGAGAGGGGAGGAGGAGGCGGGGGAGGGAAGAAGGCGGGCAAGAAGGGGAAGAAGGGCCGCAATCGCCGCGACGACTTCGACGACGATTTCGCCGACCCCGTCGCGGACGCTGCGGCGGAGGAGAGCGACAAACCCGCCGCCGCTAAACCCGAGGAGGGGGAGGACGGCGATGCGGCGGTAGCCCCTGCTTATCTGGTGGTGGGGGAGATTAAGTCCGTGCGCAAGGTGAAGAAGGCCGACAAACTCCGCGCGTGCCTCGTCGACATTGGCGGCGCGGCGCCCATCCAGATCGTGTGCGGCGGGACTAACGTGCGCGCGGGGCTACGCGTGATCGTGTGCCCCGTGGGGTGCGCCGTGCCGTCCTCGGGGGTGGTTCTAAAGAAGGCGAGCATCAAGGGCGAGGAGAGCCTCGGGATGATCTGCTCGCGCGCCGAGATGGGGTGGGCGGACGCCGCCACCGAGGTGGTGGAGCTGGGCGCGGGGGAGTTCAATGTGGGGGACAAGGCGCCGCTGGAAGACCCCGCGGGGGGGAAGGGCGACGTGGAGGAGGAGGTGGATGACGTGGCAATGGCGTTCAAGGGGAAGAAGAAGGGGAAGAAGGGGAAGGGAGGCAAGGGGAAGAGGGAGGAAGAGGAGGAGGAGGAGTCGGCGGTGACGAGCGTGAATGTGCTGGCGGCTCTCGGGGAGGAGGAGGAGGACGTGGACTCGATGGCCATGGCGTTTGCAGGGAAGAAGAAGAGCAAGAAGAAGGACAAGAAGGGGCGGAGACAGGCGGAAGAGGACGAGGACGAGGAGAAGGAGGCGGAGGAGGAGGAGGCGAGGGAAGAGGAGACGGCTAAGGAGGAGAAGGAGGTGGATGAGGAGGAGGAGGAGGTTGTGTTCAGCGGCAAGAAGAAGAAGAAGGGCACGGCGGGCGAGAAGAAGTCCGCAATGCAGCTGCTGGCGGCGCTGGGGGACGAGGGCGAGGAGGAGGAGAAGGAAGAGGAGGGGGAGAAAGAGAAGGAGGAGGAGGAGGAGGAGGAGGTGGAGTTGGCGTTCAGCGGCAAGAAGAAGCCGAAGAAGGCCAAGAAGAAGATGACCAGCGCGGAGCTGGACGCGCTCATGGCGGAGGCCGAGGGGGAGGCGGACGGGGAGGGCAAGCAGGAGGCGGACGCGGAGGAGAGCAAGGCAGAGGAGGGCGGGAAGGGGCAGAAGGGCGGGAAGGCGAAGGCGGAGGAGGAGGACATCGACGCGCTGCTCAAGGAGCTGGAGGCGCCCAAGGCGGGGGGCGGGGGGGGGAAGAAGAAGGATAAGAAGAAGGGGAAGAAGGAGAAGGAGAGCAAGAGCGGGCGCACGGCGGACGAGGAGGAGGAGCTCGACCGCATCCTCGCCCAGCTCGACGGGCCCAAGGCGCCCGCGGCGGGCGGCAAGGACGACAAAGGGGAGAGTGCTGCCCCAGAGGCGGAGGCAGGCAAGCCGGCAGCTGCTGCTGCTGCTGCTGCTGCTGTTGACGCTGCTGCTGCTGGTGGTGCAGAGGGTGAGGGGGAGGAGGAGGAAGCAGGGGGGGGTGGAGGGGCGGAGTCTGCAGCAGCAAAGAAGAAGAAGAAAAAGAAGGAGAAGGAGAAGGCCGCCAAGGCAGCCGCCGCCGCTGCTGCCGCAGCAGGGGCGAAGGAGGAGGAGGCGGCGGCAGAGGTGGCGGTGAAACCAGGCGACCTGAAGAAGCTGCCGAAGCACGTGCGGGAAATGCAGGAGCGGCTGGCGCGGATGAAGGAGCTGGAGGAGAGGCAGCGGCGCGAGCAGGAGGAGCGCGAGCGCAAGGAGCGCGAGGAGGAGGAGCGGCTGGCTGAGCTGGAGAGGCAGAGAGAGGAGGCGAAGCAGCGGCGGAAGCAGAAGGAGAAGGAGAAGAAGGAGCAGCTGAAAAAGGAGGGCAAGCTGCTCACCGGCCGGCAGAAGGAGGAGGCCAAGCGCCTGGCCGCCATGAGGGAGCAGCTGCTGGCGCGCACAGGGGGCGCGGAGGGCGAGGAGGGCGCGAGTGGGGGGAAGAAAAGAGGCGGCGTGTTTGACCGGCGGAAGAAGGGCAAGCAACAGCAGAAGCAGGACGGGGGGGAGAAGGAGGAGGCGAAGGAGGAGGCGAAGGAGGAGGCGAAGGAGGATGGTGAGGGTTGGGAAGAGGAGGAGAAGGTGGATGAGGCAGTGGGTGTGAGTGACGGTGGTAAGGCGAGTGTGGAAGAGAGGGTGAAGGAGAGCGTGGAGGAGGTAGAGGAGGAAGCAGCAAACGAGGAAGAGAAGGAGGAGGAGGAGGAGGTGAAGGCGGAGGAGGAAGAGGAGGAGGACGATTGGGATGCGAAGAGCTGGGATGAGACGGATGTGAAGCTGCCCAAGCGCAAGGGGGCGTTCGACGAGGAGGAGGAGGACGAGGAGAAGGCTGTTGCTGCTGCTGCCAAACCTGCTGCCAAGAGCAAATCCGCCGACGAAGCTTCTAAGAAAGCTGCCGCCAAGGCAAAGGGTAAAGCTGCAGGAGGCAAGGGGAAGGAGGAGGAGGAGAGTGAGGAGGAGGATGGGGATGATGACGATGATGATGAGGAGGAGGAGGAGGAGGAGGAGGAGGAGGACAGCGAGGAGGACGAGGCGGACAGGCGGCGGGCTGATGCGCGGGAGAAGCGGGAGCAGCGGCGCGAGGAGGCCTTGAAGGCGCGCAGCGCGCAGGACCTGCGGTCGCCCATCTGCTGCATCCTGGGGCACGTGGACACCGGCAAGACCAAGTTGCTGGACTGCATCCGCCGCACCAACGTGCAGGAGGGCGAGGCGGGTGGCATCACGCAGCAGATCGGTGCGACGTACTTCCCCATGGCCAACATCCGCGAGCGCACCAAGGAGCTCAAGGCGGACGCCACGCTGCGCGTGCCGGGGCTGCTCGTCATCGACACGCCCGGCCACGAGTCGTTCACCAATTTGCGCGCCAGGGGGTCGGGGCTGTGCGACATCGCCATCCTGGTGGTGGACCTCATGCACGGGCTGGAGCCGCAGACCGTGGAGTCGCTCAACCTGCTCAAGATGAGGAAGACGCCCTTCGTCGTCGCCATGAACAAGGTGCGCCCTGCCACACCCCTCCTCTCTGCATTTCATTCCTTGCTCCGCCATGCCGTTTTCTTGTGCCATGCTGCCCCATGACACGACATTCAACGCATGCCATGCGTCACGTGATCCATCTCTCGTCCGCCAGGTGGACCGCATCTACGGGTGGAACGCCACGCCCAACGCGCCCATCCGCGCGGCGCTGAAGAAGCAGACGCGCGACGCCATCATGGAGTTCGACCGCCGCACCGAGCAGGTGGGGGGGGGGGGGGGGGAGGGGAAAGGGGAACGGCAAAGTAGATGTTGTTATCTATGGTGGGTGGCGGGGAGCAATGGTGCGAGGGAAGGGAAGAGGATGACGCATGTGGGGGGGAAAAGGGGGGGTGAGGAGGAGGACAGAGAGAGGAGGAAAGGAGGAGAAGAATATAGCGGCATGGATGGAGTCAGTTACCCCAGTAGGACGAGAGAAGGCTCTCATGAAGGGCGTTCTCTGGCTCTTGCCACTCCCTCTTTCAACCACTTCCCCCCCCCGCCCATCACCTGCATGCGTGCACTGCCGCCCTCCACCACTGCATCCATGCACCCTTTCCCCGCCTGCCCTGTACGCCCCCCGCCCCGCAGGTGATCCTGGAGCTGAAGGAGCAGGGGCTCAACGCGGCGCTCTACTACAAGAACACGGACGTGCGCAAGTTCATCTCCATCGTGCCCACCAGCGCCATCAGGTGCCCACCAGCGCCATCAGGTAGGTGATGTATGTACGTGTGTGCGTGGCATGCGTTGATACACCAGGTGTGTGTGTGTGTGTGTGTGTGTGTGTGTGTGTGTGTGTGTGTGTGTGTGTGTGTGTGTGTGTGTGTGTGTGTGTGTGTGTGTGTGCTCGTCTTCCCATTACGCTTCCCATCTCTGCATGTCCTTGTGCCCCCCCATCCCCCCCCTGCCCACTTGCCCTATGCGCCCGCCCCCACTCCCCCATTCTCCCCTGCGCTTATCCTCCACTCCCGCCGTGCCCTCTCCCCCCCCCCCCCCCTCTCACTGGCAGTGGCGAGGGCGTACCTGACCTGCTGCTGCTGCTGGTGCAGCTGACGCAGAAGCTGATGGAGGAGCAGCTCATGTTCGTGGCGTCCGTGCAGTGCACCGTGCTCGAGGTCAAGGTCATCGAGGGGCTCGGCACCACCATCGACGTGGTGCTCGTCAACGGCGTGCTGCACGAGGGCGACCAGATCGTCGTGTGCGGCCTGCAGGTATGGGAAGGGAAGGGGGGGAGAGACTCAGAGGGGGGGCTGCAGGCGTGGAAGGGTCAGGCGTGGTGTGTAGGGATGGCACGCGGAGGCAGAGTGGAAAATCAAGTCATTCAAGGAATGCAAGAGAAGTTGTTCATTTGTCGTTGTTTCTGAAGTTTTTACATCGTAATGTGGTTTTTTTTTATATACACTCACCTTCATGTGCTTCTGTGTGATGCTGTGTGCTGCTGTGTGATGCTGTGTGGTGCTATCAGGGGCCCATAGTGACGACCATTCGAGCGCTACTAACGCCTCACCCCATGAAGGAGCTGCGAGTCAAGGTCAGTCACGTCTACGGGGAACTCCCGCCTCCACGCTTGCGCTTGCGCCTTTCTCCTGCCATTCTCGTGATGCCCGTCCCCTGGCAGCTGATCCTCACATGCTCGCTTCTTTCTCAAGTCAACCTGTTCTCACTCCAGCGTTGCAACCGCCCTAATCGCCTCACCTAAGACTTTTCTCCCATCTTCCCCTTTCCCCTCCAATTCATTTCCCTTGCCATGCGCTCCCCCCCCTCCCCTCCTCCCTCCTTGTTCCCTTCCCCAGGGGTCATACCAGCACCACAAGGAGCTGCGGGCGGCGCAGGGCATCAAGATCACGGCGCAGGGGCTGGAGCACGCGGTGGCGGGCACGCAGCTCTACGTGGTGGGGGCGGAGGACGACGTGGACGAGCTCAGGGAGGAGGCCATGGCGGACGTGAAGGGCGTGCTGTCGCGCGTGGACAAGTCGGGCGAGGGTGTGTCGGTGCAGGCGTCGACGCTGGGGTCGCTGGAGGCGCTGCTGGAGTTCCTCAAGAGCCCCGCAGTGAAGATCCCCGTGTCGGGCATCGCCATCGGCCCCGTGCACAAGAAGGACGTCATGCGCGCCAGCGTCATGCTGGAGAGGAAGAGGAAGGAGTACGCCGTCATCCTCGCCTTTGATGTCAAGGTGAGTGGCTCATGCTGGCCTCACACCCATCAACATCCCCAAAAAGGATTCAATCGATTCCCTCGTTTTCAAACCCCCCCCCCTCCCCGTCCCCCCCTGCTTTGGTGGGCGCAGGTGTCAACGGAGGCGCGGGAGATGGCGGAGGAGCTGGGCGTGCGCATCTTCACGGCGGACATCATCTACCACCTGTTCGACCAGTTCACGGCGTACATGGCGGGCGTGAAGGCGGAGAAGCGTGCGGAGGCGGCGGAGGAGGCGGTGTTCCCGGTGGTGCTCAAGATCATGCCCAACTGCATCTTCAACAAGAAGGACCCCATCGTGCTCGGCGTCGAGGTGCTCGACGGCATCGCCAAGGTGAGAGGGGGGGGGAGAGGAGAGGGGGGGGACGGATGGGAGAGAGGGGGAGAACTGGGGATGAACGAGGACTGCAGATTCTTGCAACATGCTTCAGCCGCTTCCCCTCTTCCCCCCCCCCCTGGATCCCCCACACCAGGTGGGCACGCCCATCTGTGTGCCGGGGCGGGAGTTCATCGACATCGGCAAGATCGCGTCCATGGAGAAGGACCACAAGATGGTCGACACCGCCAGGAAGGGGCAGGCTGTCGCCATGAAGGTGCGTGCATGTCCCGTCCTGCTTGCCCCCTCTCATCTCACACCCTTGCTCTCTGTTGCACGCTGCTTGCTCTGCCCTGCTCCTTTTTTTCTCTCACACTCTTTATCGCCTCTTTCTTTGCCAGCTCTCCTAGTCGCCCACCAATTTCTGTCCCTACTGCCTGCCCACATCACCTGTGGTATTGCCCGCGCACCATCACCCACCCACCCGCCGTGGTCAGATCGTGGGGTCGAATGCGGAGGAGACGCAGAAGTCGTACGGGCGGCACTTCGACAGCGACGACGAGCTCGTGAGCCGCATCTCGCGCAACTCCATCGACCTGCTCAAGGAGAACTACCGCGTACGCACCACACCCTCCCTGCCCCCACCCCCACTCGCCCCCCCACCGTGTGCTGCACATACTCTGCCTCTCTGCTCTTGCATGCTCCCATCAACCCTTCTCCCATTCCTACCTGCCATCCCCCTGCAGCCGCTTCTACTCCTCGCGCACACAGTGCCCCCCTGCTGCCCCCTGCCACCGCGTGCTGCATCGCATGCCAGTCTTCTTCCCTCTGCGCCTCACTGCACCTCCAGTTGCTGCCCTCATTCCCTCCCTCTTTCTCCCACCCCACTCCGCCCCGCCGTCTCTCCATGCTCCCCTGTGTGTGCGTGTGACATCCACGGCGCAGGACGACTTGAGTCGGGAGGACTGGATCCTCGTGGTCAAGCTCAAGAAGCTCTTCGACATCGCCTAGGCTCGTCTGCTCACTACCCTCGCTGGGATTCTACATTTACAGGTTGCCATTTACAGGAAACCCTGGTGTATAGGTGTCCTAGAATCATTGGCCGAACACAGAGTGTCCATGGTCTTCACTCCCAACTTGTTGGTTTGCAAGCAACCCTTTATTCCAAGCATCCCTCCCATCTCTACAGCATGCTCTGCCCTCCCTGGCTCCAAGATGTGATGAGCCAAACGTATCTGGCCGACCTAGTTGAAATTGATTTCTTCAACAGAATATTTCTGGGAATACGAATAAAGGGGTGTAGACAGAATTAGCATAGGTTGGCCTAAGTCCTAAGTATAAATGCATTGAACAGAGCCGAGCTGGGTTCCTGGCTCTTGTTGTCCGCGCGCGGGGAATCCCCCGCACCACCCGCACGGCCGTCGCAAGCGCCGCAGAAGCAGATGGCGCGAGGGGCCCCCGCAGGGTAGGATCCGCCCTACTAGGGTTTGAACGCGGCCTGGGCGGTTTCCGCCTTGGCTTGAGCGGACTTGAGCAGGCCGAGCGTGGCCTTATCGGTAGCGGGTTTGAGCATAACGGAGACACCCTTGATGGTGGAGATGGCGTTCGTGATCTGCCCCGGCACCAGCGCGCGCTGCCCCTGCGTGATCAGGATGCCCGCGTTGCGCAGCGCCTGCGCGGTGTCCGTCAAGCTCTTCACGTACGTCTTCACCGTCAGCACCGCCTTCGCCTCGTCAACCAGCTTCGCCGCCGCCGTCAGGTCCGCCGTCACGCTCACGTCCTGCGCGCTCGGCTTCTTCGGTGGAGCCTTCGCGCCCGCGGCGGGGGCCGGGGGAGTCTCGGGGGACTTTCCGGTCTTTGTGGTCGGCGGAGAGGGGGGGGAAGCGGCGGGGGTCTTGGGCGTCTTGGGGGACTTGGGGGACTTGGTGGTGGTGGCGGACGGCGGGGTCGACGGGGCGGGCGGGGACGGCGAGGGCTCGGCGGGCGGCGGAGACTTGGAGCTCTTGGCCTTCTTGGCGGCCTTGTCCGCCGCCTTCTTGGCCTTGTCCGCCGCCTTCTTCTCCGCCTTCTTGCGCTTCTTCTCCTCGTCCTTCGCCTTCTCCTCGTCGCTGCCCAGCACGCGCCGCGTCGACGTTGGCACTGCCGAGCTGGAGACGCCTGGATGGGCTAAGTCGCCTGAGAGAATCACACCGACGGGAGCAGCGGAAGAGTGAGGGGATTCGGGGTCAGCGAAAAAAACAGTCCGCGGGGAAAGGAATGCATGATTTCGAAGGAGGCGTGCGGCGAAGTTTATGATAGGATTGTACTTACCTTCATTGCTAGGGACGACACCCGAGGAAAAGTCGGCGAGGGCAACGTCAGCAGACGCGCTGATACAGTGCGAAGTCAAGAGGAGAGCGAGGAGTGGCAGTGCGTAGACAAGCGCGAGAGTTCTCGATGTCGCCATTTGCTAGATCAAGTACTAGACGTATGAGCTGAGTAGTAAAAGATGCAGAGTGGGAGCGAACGATGTACTGTATGATGAAAGTTGAATGAACGAGGGCGAATTTATGCTGCTGTGAGTGCCTCACCGACTCACACTTGGGCTGTGGCAGTTTGGAGGAGGTGGCATAAAAAAATGGCGCCTCGATCGCGGAAGATCCCTGCCGCACTCCACGGCAGCGAAGTTTTGCTGGGCGAACCTGAAAAAGTGCGGGCAGTTGGATGCGGTGCTGCGTACGTGGCCGACTGAATACAAATTCGCGACGCGACCACGAGATTTGGCATGCGAGGGAGATGTGCCCGTTTGCGAGTGGAATCTCCTTTGCACAGTCAGCTTAGTCAACGCATTAGACCTTTCCCGTTGCGAAACGGAAAGACGCGCCCGCTAAAGGCCTGTCGTGCCCCGCTAGGACACGACGTTACAAACAGGCAAATATACTTATCCATATATTGCACTGATCAGAAAGCAATAGTAGCCTAAAATTTTACAGCACATAACTAGACATACACTCCCATCCAATGCACGGAAATTGCATCAATATGTAAAGTAATCACAGACCACGTCAGACCATTGGGCATAATGGAATCCCTTGCTCGCCTTCACCTTTGAGCACTTGGACCTGGACCTTGATCACACATCATCATCATTAGAATCAGTCAGCCGCTTCCCTTCAGTGGCACCGTCATTCTCACCATCCATGTCATCCATTTCCTCCTCCACCGCATGCATCTCCTGCTCCACCAGCCGCGAGTACATGGCGTGCAGCTTGCGGCTCTTGAGCCATGTCATCAGCGCCATCACGCCAAACACCACAATCATCACGCCAGACACTGCGAACACCACAATGTACTGCCAGCTCAGCTTATCTGACGGCACATACTTGATCTTGTACGTGCACTCGCCGGCCGCTTCATCGGGCGGCAGCTGCACAGAGCCCGGGAGGGACTCGTTGCAGAGCATGGGCTGGTGCCACAGGTACGTCACGTTGTGCTTGCCGTCGTCGTCCGCACACTCGCCCTCGAAGCGGTCGTAGTCGTTGGCCGTGCACGGCTCACACATCACGTCGTCTGGCAGCGGCGTCATGGGGTTCGGCTGACACACCTGAGGGAGGCAGGCATGTGTGGAGAGAGGGGAAACGTGGGGGCTGGTGATGACGGCAGCAATAGTGGCCGTGTATCCAATCGCAGACATGCCTAAGAGATTCAGCAGCACGATTCACCTGCGGGTGTGTGCACTGACCCGGGGGTGCCTGTATTTATAGGTGGTGCGCTTGTTGTCGTTGCAGCCAGCTGCCTCCACCTTGACGATGTCCTGCTCCGAGCACAGCGGGCACGCAAACAGCGAGTACCACACCAGGTTGAACTCGCACGGCGCCGCCTCCACTGCCTGCACCGGGCCCTCCCTCTGTGCCCACTCCGGGTACCCCAGGTGCGGGTCAAACGCCGCCATGCGCCCCCCCGCCGTCCACTGCTCCGGTTGCCCATGGCCTTGGGGGGGGGAGGGGTGATGGGGGAGGGGGGGCAGAAGTGGCATGCAGAGGGGGGAAGGAGGTGAGCAGAAGTACAGTGGTCGAAAGGGGAGCATTCACCAACAGCAGCTTGAGTCGTGCATTGACATGGCAGCATGAGAGGGCAAGGAGCTGGGGGCTGTTACCAGCAGCGGGGTCGCAGATGAAGGTGATGTTGGTCTGCCTGGGCAGCTGCGTCTGTGGGCAGCCATCCCCCTTGAGCATCATCACAAACCCGCGCGTCCTCAGCTCGCCCGCGATCACATCCAGCGATTCGATGGCCAGCGACTCCCCCAGGTTGTGCCCCGGGCGCAGGTGCCCCTCCACCTCCTCGGCGGGGTCCACCTTGCAGGCGTACGTGTTAAGGGGGTTGCCGCCGTAGTCGTAGCACGTGTCGTTGGTGGTGTCGCGGTCGCAGATGCTGATGAAGTAGGACGCCTGCTGGGTGCTGTTCTTCACCGCTGCATCGTTGGCGATGGGCCCAAACAGCACCCCGGGGTGCAGCCGCGCCAGCGGCGACAGGTCAAAGAACAGCCGCCCCCCACCCGCAGTGGCGCCCGTGAGGCCGCCCCCTGCCACCACCATGCCCCCCCCCTCCGCCAGAGTGTTGTTCCAAAACTGCTCCTCCTGCTGCATCTCTCCCGTGGGGCCCACAGGGGGCGGGGGCGCGGGGGCAGTGAAGAAGGGGTCAAGGGATGCGAGGGCGCTGGGGGGGGGCGGGGCGTCGGATCCGTTGTAGGCGACGGGGACGCGCACGGCAAAGGAGCAGAAGGAGGACGGCACGCGCACGTCGCCCACAAAGCACTCCGTGCTGCCCGGCAGCGACGTGGTGCCCGCCCCACACCGTTCACATGAGTACTCCGCGCCCTGCAGTGCCATGCCACGCAACGGACCGTACACATTAGGGAACACTACAGCACAGCAGAACATGTGAAGGGGCTGTCCGGATAAGATGTGGAAAGATTGGCAACTCTGTGAATGCCATTTGAATGAGCACAATGCTTGCATTACAAGTTGCGCCATGCCATGTTTGAGGGCAGCGCACCTCAGGGAAAGGGTTGAAGGTGTTGGCGGGGCACGGCGTGCACTTGCCCTCGCCGCCCTCGCTGAAGGTGCCGGCGGGGCACGGCGTCCACGTCTGCCCGTCCTCACTCATCTGCATCCCCGGCGGCACCCGCCTGCACCGCTCCGCACCGCCCCGTGCCACTCCCTCCACCTGGCAGAGAGGAGAGGCGGGATGTGGGAGAAGCGGAAAGGCGAGGGAGGAGAGGGGAGGGCTGAAAGGAGGGAAGTGGGGAGTGAGGAAAAGGGAGGGAAGTGCAGTTATGAGATCCAAAGTCACCCACTCTGAATGCCACCACATGATGGCATGGATGGCGGCGCACCTCGATGTCATAGATAATGGCGGAGTCGCGGGTGGTCCTCTTGCCGGCGCGCTCGTCGTTGAGTTTCTCCCACACCCACATGAGCGTGTGGTTGCCCGGCGCCAGCTCCCACATGCCGCTGATGGCCGTCTCGTTCTCCGACGTGCCCTTGCGCGGCTGCCCCGCGCCCCCCTGCCACTCCACCCGTTGTTGCTGCATGGTCATTTGGGGAGGGGAGGAGAGGGATGAGAGGGGAGGGTTGGTGTGGGAGCGAGTGTGGTCGGAGCGGAAGTGGGGTTGAGAGGAGGCAAAGGAGAAGGGGCATGGTGAAAGAGACATACATGAAAGAAAAGAGAGAAGAGACGACAAACGACGCCACCGCACCTCGACGAAGCCCATGAGGTCAACGCACCTCCACAAAGACCATGAGGTCAACGCACCTCCACAAAGTCCATGAGATCAACGCACCTCCACAAAGTCCACGAGGTCAACACACCTCCACAAAGTCCACGAGGTCAACACACCTCCACAAAGTCCATGAGGTCAACGCAACTCCACAAAGTCCATGAGGTCAACGCACCTCCACAAAGTCCACGAGGTCAACACACCTCCACAAAGTCCACGAGGTCAACGCACCTCCACAAAGTCCATGAGGTCAACGCACCTCCACAAAGTCCACGAGGTCAACACACCTCCACAAAGTCCACGAGGTCAACGCACCTCCACAAAGACCATGAGGTCAACGCACCTCCACAAAGTCCATGAGGTCAACGCACCTCCACAAAGTCCACGAGGTCAACACACCTCCACAAAGTCCACGAGGTCAACACACCTCCACAAAGTCCATGAGGTCAACGCACCTCCACAAAGTCCATGAGGTCAACGCACCTCCACAGAGTCCATGAGGTCAACGCACCTCCACGAAGCCCATGAGGTCAAGGCACCTCCACAGAGTCCATGAGGTCAACGCACCTCCACGAAGCCCATGAGGTCAACGCACCTCCAATCCATGAGGTCAACACACCTCCACAAAGTCCATGAGGTTGTGGTCGACGAAGAAGAAGAAGCCCCTGCCAGGGTCGCCTGCAGCGATGTCGACCGAGTAGTTAAACATCACGTACCCCGTCACCGCCACGTCCACGTCCAACGCCAGCCAGATCTGATGCACGCACGGGCGCATGGGTGAGAGGGGAGAAGGGGCCAAGGAAAGGGCAAGGGGAAAGAGGGTGGGGGGTGAAGTGAGAGCTCCACGTACCCAGCCACAGCTGTGGCCACACCCACCGCCAGGCAGATCGGCGGGTGCGCCAACAGCCAGAATGGGGGGTAAACACGCAGAGGGACGTGCCGGTGAAATGATCGAGGAGAGCGCGGAGAAAGGGTTGCAGGGAGCGAGGGAACCAGGGAACGAGGGAGTGAGGGAACGAGGGAGCGAGGGAGCGAGGGAGCGAGGGAGCGAGGGAGCGAGGGAGCGAGGGAGCGAGGGAGCGAGGGAGCGAGGGAGCGAGGGAGCGAGGGAACGAGGGAGCGAGGGAGCGAGGGAGCGAGGGGGCGAGGGAGCGAGGGAGCGAGGGAGCGAGGGAGCGAGGGAACGAGGGAACGAGGGAACGAGGAAACGAGAGGACGCAGCCACTCACCGTGGCGGTCTTGCCGTGGCCGCTCCCCGACTCGAGATAGTTGTTGACGGCGCGCCACCCGAAGGTGCCGCAGTCGCCATGGCAACCTGTGCGGAAGCCGTCCGGGAGGCGGCCCTTGTCCATGCGGAAGTGGCGCAAGGACAGCATCTTCATCGCCACCTCGCCTGCATCGCACGGTCGACACAGCTCCTCCGTGATGTTCCCGCTGCCGCTGCTGCCGCCTGCCGCTGCTGCTGGGCTGCCCTCCGCCCCCTCGGTGCCTGCGGGTGCGCCTTCAGCCGGGGGTGTGGTGTCCTGGTTGGCGTCCCTGGCGGTGCCGGTGGGGCACCAGTCGCAGCGCACCTCGTTCGTCTCGGGGATGGGCACTGCCTGCTGCCCGCTGGGGCAGTGCTCTGACCAAAGAAGGAGCACCGGGGGAAGGAGGGTGGGGGGGGGAGAGAGGGGGAGGGCGAGAGACAGAGAGTGAGTCGTGCTGGTGGGAGGACAGACGGTTAAGGTGGCCCCCATTGTGCACACTGAATGACCAGAGGATGGGCAGGTGGAGGGGAGCGACTGGGAGAGGCATGCAAGCAGAGTGGCAGCAAACGGAGCAGGAGAGAGCACGGGTGCGCGTGAGGGGGGGGGGGGGGGGGGGGGGGGGGGGGGTCTTTGGGGTACTGACCGCAGGGCAGCTCGATGCTGGCAGGGAGCCGGTCGAGGTCGCTGGGCTTGCAGATCTGCGGCTCCAACCACTCCCAGCTCTGGGGGGTAGGAAGGGGGGGGACCGAGCGGGAGGAGCGGGTGGGAGGGGCGACAAGGGATTGTGATGCGCTTCTAGCTAGAAAGATGAGCTTGAAGCAGAGAAAGGAAGCTTTGGATACGAATGTCTGGACATGGCGCCTGACCTTGGTGCGAGTGAGCGTGCTGAGCTTGCACGGGCCGATCACCGACGTGGCATCACGATCCACCCGGCACGCTGCGGGCGGGAGGAGGGCAGACAGAGAGGCATGCGGTGAAAGAGTGGCGAAACAAACAACGACATACTGAGAGGGACGGGTTTAGAAGCAGTAGGCACAATAGCTGGCGAAAAAACGGAGGCAGAGAGAAGCAAGAGGACGTGGGCTTGAGGGGGAAACCGAGGAGGGGTAGTGGGCGAGGGGCAGGCAGGGCTCACTGGGGCGGTCAAGGCACTGCGTGCGGGGAATGATCTGCGCGTACTGCTCTGCCGCACACGGCTTGCACACCGACGCCCCCGCACTGCCATCAAGAGGCGGGCGGGTGCACAGTGAGACAGGCGGGGGAGGGGGGGGGGAGGAGGACAAAAGGGGTTCATTCCTGGTGGGTGGGGTATACCACGGCGGAAGGAGAGCGCGAAATACGGCATGCAGCACAGCTGCTGGCAGCATGCATAGCTTGTAAGATGTGAGTTCTTGATTCTATATGTGCAAGCAGGAGTGCGCAGCGAGGGTACCTGGACACAGTGTTGGGGGCACACGGCAGGCATGAGCTGGCGCCCGCCGAGCTGCAAAGTCCAAGGAGCGGGGTGTTGGGGCAAGGGGAAAGGTGGGGGGCGCAAGCGGGTTGGAGTCTTGTTAGCATGTTTCTTACACGCTGGTTGGCGATTGTGGTTTCAGGGGAGACGTTTCATTACATAATGCGGGAACACACGGCATCACACAAATGCGTGTGGAGCCCGCACATGGCGCAGCAGCAGAGGTGCGCACCTGTAGAAGCCCGCCTCACAGGGCGTGCAGACAAAGTCATTGAAGCCAATGCCGTCCACCTCGATGAACTGAGGCGGTGGAGGGGGGGGGGTTGAGAGGGAGGATAGACACGGCCAGGAGAAGAGGAGGGGACGCCACACAGCCATTAATGCGTGCACCCGAGGGGACCAAAGGAACACTGTAATGCCTTCACGTGATCCCTCAGGGTACACTTTAGAGATGCCCGCAAGGGCACTCACTCGCAGCGTGGCGATGTCCTCGCCCTTGGTCCACCGCGCGTCCTTGGAGTAGAGCCACATCAACGTGTGGTGCCCCGCCGTGAGCGGGAAAACCACCTCGCGCGGCTCAAACTGGTACGACTCGAGCGCCATGGCGGGCTCCGAGAGCGAGTCGATGAAGAACGACAGCCCGTCCCGCCCCAACTCCGCACTCACTGTGAAGTTGAACCGCACGTGGCTGATGAGAGCAGCAGCGGGGGGGGGGGGGGGAGCACATGAGCACGCAGGAGGCAGAGAGGTACAGGGCGGCGGCGAAGGAGGAGAGGCGGCCGTGCCCCATCAAGGCGCTCCCTGTGAAGTTGAATTGCATGTGGCTCGGGGCGGGAGGATGGGCGAGGGGCGAGGGAGAAGGGGCACGGGGGGAGAGGCGAGGGGCCAGGAGTGAGGGGCGAGGCTTCAGGTATGAGGGATGATGGGCAAAACATGCACGCACTCCAGCACACCCCCAGCCTGCACCCACACGCCCCCAACAGGCACCCATGCATCCCAGCGGTGCACCGCACCTATGCATCCCAGCGGTGCACGGCACCCATGCATCCCAGCGGTGCACGGCACCCATGCATCCCAGCGGTGCACGGCACCCATGCATCCCAGCGGTGCACGGCACCCATGCATCCCAGCGGTGCACGGCACCCACCCGTCGCGAACGAGGTCGACTTCGAGGGAGAGTGAGGAGCGCAGGTTGTTGTGGCAGTTGTATGCCGGGTCCGACGCACACACGTCCTGCAGCAGGGCATTGGGGGGGGAACGGAATGTAGGCGGGTAAGGGGGAGTTGAGGGGCTGCATTCCAAGGGAAAGGGCGGGCATAAAGGGCAGCACTCAGAGGCAGGCGGGAGGGATGAGGGGCAGGGAGACAGGGTGTCAACTCACGGAGTTGCAGGTCAGTGATCAACCCACCGGGTTCCAGTCGTTCATGTAGTCGAACGCGCCCACCTCCAGCGCGCCATCATCCGCATACCACGGCTCGCACGGGAACATGCCCGTGGCGTTCTTGAACTGGCAATCCGTCTGGGGGGACGAGAGCAGGGGGGCCACGGGAGGGCACGTGAGGATGGCTGCACTCGAGGGAACACATGGCAGGCTACGCATATGGTGGCCATGGCGCTCTCCTCTCCAGGCACTGCGAGCACTCCATGCTCGCCTCTCATCATGCGGCCTTCCGCGTGAGATGAAACGAGGGGCGCACGAGGTGGTGTGAGTGAGCGGCCTATGGCAGTGGAGCGAGGTGCGGCGTGTGGAAGAGCAGGTTGTGCAGGAGCAGCGTTACAGTGCGCGCAGGTGTATTTTGAGTCGACTCAAAATACACCTGGAAGAGCAGGTTGTGCAGGGGCAGCGTTACAGTGCGCGCAGGGGTCACCTTGCGCTGATGAAGGCCTATCGTTGGCTGAAACGCGTTCGCACGCGACATCCGGGCCTATTGTGTCTGGCGTTCTGACTTGAGAAATCTTTCTCTTACCTTTCTCGCTGTTAGATCTTAGTTCTAGTCTTAGATCTACTCTTAGGAGGCTTGCTGCGGATCGAATCCTATGTTTTCTCACCTTGAAGTACTTGGGGTCGACGTCAAAGAACTTGTTGAACACCAGCGCGCCCGCTGTGCTGTACGTGCCTGAAGGCCCGCAGGGGGGTTGGGTGGGTGCAGTGGTGATTGGTACCGGCATGGAGGGGAAGAGGGATGCGGGCATTACCGCAAGGAGCAGCCAAGGAGGGCGAGCAGCAAAGGGTGAGCAGCAGAGGAGGTGAGGAGCAGCAATAGGTGACTTGGAGAGCAGTGGTGGTCGTGATGGCAGACGTGGAGAGAAGGGGGGGCAGGGAGAAGGGGAGGGGGGCCAGGAGCAGGGGGGGGACCCACTCACCTGCAGGGCACTCCTGGCAGTCGTCGTGGTGCAGAATGTGACCCGCCCCGCAGCGATGGTCTGCTCACACACAGCCGGGCAAGAGGCAGCGAAGCCCACAGGCGGGCGTACGCGCAATCAGGCAGAGATGCAGCATGCGCAATGCGCATGGCGAACGGGAGGTACGTGCACGGTGCACGGGCGATATGGCCATGCGAGGTGTGACGTGGGAAACAAACACCGGCCCGTGCAGCACATGGAGGTGCACGTGGCAGAGGAGGGGCAGAGAGGGGCAGAGAAGGGTAGAGAGGGGCAGAGAGGGGTAGAGAGGGGTACCGCAGGGAATGAAGGTGTTGGGCGGCAAAGGCACGGCTCCTCTGGCATAGGGATTGCACTCCTTGTCAAAGTAGTAGATCACCTGCACGGGCACGGCAGGATGGCAGTCACACACACACGCATGGCAGACACACACACACACACACACACACACACACACACACACACACACACACACACACACACAGGCACGCACACACAGGCACGCACACATGCATGCACAAATGGTAAGCACACAGCTTCAGCCATGGCTGCGAGAGAGAAGCCACTGGCCTTGTGACTGGGGTCGAGCAGCACTGCTTGACCGCCACCTCTGCTCCTTGCACCTCCACAGCAGACATCCTCTTCCTTCACTGTCCTCCATCTAGCAGATTCCGCACTGCCCTTCTCACCCCTCACGTCCCCAGCACCCTCCTGTCGCATCCACACGGCGCCCAGTGTGCCTCCCTCACCTCGACCGCGGGCATCTTCGAGAGCTTCTGGCCGGTGACGGAGTCGCGGATGTAGTCGCACAGCCCGTAGATGGACTTGAGGTCGCCCTCCCTGCACGCCCGCGATGACGAGATGGCTGGGGAGGGGGGGGAGGGGGAGGGGCGAGAGGGAGGGAGAGGAAGCGAGACAGCGTGCGTGTTAGTGTGCTTGGATGGTGGGATGGACGGAAGGAGGGGGGATGGGAGCGAGGCGAGGGAGATGGGGAAGGCGCATGAGTTGGGGGAGGAAAGGGAGCAGCGTGAGCAGGGGGGAGGTGGGTAGGGAGTGACGTCAGCAGGTGCTGCCGAGGGAAATCACCCCAGGGCACGTGATGGGCATGTGATGGGCGTGTGATGGGCGTGTGATGGGCGTGTGATGGGCGTGTGATGGGCGTGTGATGGGCGTGTGATGGGGATGTTGTGGGGATGTAATGGCGATGTGGTGAGGACGTGATGGGCATGTGATGGGCATGTGATGGCAATGTGTGGCATGTGATGGGGATGAGTGGCATGTGATGGGGGGATGCGTGGCATGTGATGGGGATGCGTGGCATGTGATGGGGATGCGTGGCATGTGATGGGGGGATGAGTGGCAAGGCAGTGGGTGGCAGGCGGGCATGGGGAGCTTACAGCAGTAGACGGGATCGACGATGATCTGTGGGAGGCCCGAGTCACCAGCGGAATTACAGTCTGCGGGGACACTCGCACACCGCATGCACGCACGCCACATGCACTCACATGCATCCATGCCAATAATGCATAGCCACATGCACCCATGCCAATAATGCATAGCCACATGCACCCATGCCAATAATGCATAGCCACATGCACCCATGCCAATAATGCATAGCCACATGCACCCATGCCAATAATGCATAGCCACATGCACCCATGCCAATAATGCATAGCCACATGCGTGCGCCCACATGCACACACATGGGCAATGCGGGTGCATGATCGGAAAGGGGATAGGCGGAAAATGAGGGGAGGAAGTGGAGGCGAGCAGCGGGGATGTGGGGGACAGAGAACGACACGAGTACGCTTCTAAAGAGGCCGCGCGCACGTTTCGCACGTACACACTCACTCTCACATGCCCTCTCATTTGCACACTCACTCTCACGTGCCCTCCCATTCGCACACTCACTCTCACGTGCCCTCTCATTCGCACACTCACTCTCACGTGCCCTCTCATTTGCACACTCATTCTCACGTGCACTCTCATTTGCACACTCTCACGTGCCTCATTTGCACACTCATTCTCACGTGCCCTCTCATTTGCACACTCATTCTCACGTGCACTCTCATTCGCACACTCACTCTCACGTGCCCTCTCATTTGCACACTCATTCTCACGTGCCCTCTCATTTGCACACTCATTCTCACATGCCCTCTCATTTGCACACTCATTCTCACGTGCACTCTCATTTGCACACTCATTCTCACGTGCACTCTCATTCGCACACTCACTCTCACGTGCCCTCTCATTTGCACACTCATTCTCACGTGCCCTCTCATTTGCACACTCATTCTCACGTGCCCTCTCATTCGCACACTCACTCTCACGTGCACTCTGCTTTGCCCACTCACTCTCGCCAATGTAAGTGAGGTAGCACTGCCCGCCATTCTCCGCGTACTTTGGCTCGTAGTCCTCCGGCGAGCACACTGGGGGGAAGAGGACGCGGGGGCGGGGGGGGGGGAGGAGACCAGAGAACCATTCAGGGGCTTGTCAATAGTCGGGAACTGAGGAAGGGGAGAGAGAACGGAGAAGGTTGGAGCATGCATGATATATATACACACTTACAATGCACTTCTACATCGGTGAAAGGTGGCTTCAGGACCATGGGCTCATGGCGAATTGGGCATAATAACTGATCATGGGCCAGCATAGCATGCAAGCGACCCAACGCGACAACAGGCAGCGGGTTCTTTCTCTCGTGCGTCAGACGGCAGCGCGCGTTATCTTGCAGTCCATACAACACGGCGTGGCTCACCGCACGGTTCGTCGCGCATGGTCATGGGGGGGAAGGTGTCCGTGCAGTTGCGCACTTTGACGTACTTCACCTCGCGCTTGCCGCCTGCCACACGCGCAACACATGCGAGTGAGATGGGGTGAGCGCGTGGACGATGCGAATGAAGCACCGGATGCTGCAGGTCGCACCGCCAGCACGGAAATACGAAATGCCATTTCCTATGACACACACAATATTCTCAAGGCCAATAAAAAGCACGACGCGTCTGTCGACAGTTTGCAAAGTGCGCTGTCCAAATTCGATTCCCTGCGCGTCCCTGCGGGTGATCGTTCCTCTTACCGATGCACGGCTTCGACTCCCGGATGTAGTCCGTCAGTCCGCACGTGGTGGGCAGCTCGTCGCCCACCACCGACCCCACCACGCCCACATCCTCAAGGCTCGCACTCGCGTTCGCCGCGGGAGGCGGCTCCGCGAACGGCAGCGGCTGGTACGGCGGCGGCGACGGCGGGCCCTCCGGATCGCCCCACTGCTGATCCTGCGGTATCCCGCCCGGCGCGGTCGCGTTCGGCTCCACGCCGCCCTCCGCAGCCTGGCTGCCCGGCACCGGCTGGTAACCGAGATTCTGCCCGCGGCCTTCCTCCCACGGCAGATGCCCGCCCAGAGGGTCCGGCTGACTGCCGTTCCGCTCCGGGAACGGCGTTCCCTCCAGCCATGGCGGCCGCTGACCCGGCTGCCATGGCGTCGGCTGGCCGCCCCCAGCCTGCGCGTACGGCGGGGTCGGTTCTGTCGAGATCTGAGCGCGACTGCAGGGTAGACTAAAAAGGGTAATAAATATCGCAAATAAGGCGCATGTTCGTCTGCTTCTAAGGGCATATGCGCGCGGCGCCATCGCCATCAAGAATATGTTGGCGCAAGCTACAAGATCAGGGTTTTTTAGCTGGATATTAACCCGTTTCGTCCGTAGACGGCGTCTAGACACCGACTAGTGCCAGAACGCCTGCAAATATGAGGCGCGCAGGAACATAGAACGCAATTCCGAAGTCAAGCTGGGATCTTTGACCGTTCTCCCCGCAATCTAGAGCGGCAAATTGAGCGAGAAATGAGGAGACAACATCAAGGCGAGGGAGGTGAAGGGATGGCTTGATTTGATGGCTGAGGGGCCAGCGCCGCTGGTCAGGTCGGGTAGAAGAAACGACACCGACCAACGGCAGCGCAGATTCCTTCTCCCAGGTGCGGTGGACTTTAATTGGTTCGGTTGAGAGAATCTCGATGGCAAATGCAGGAACAGTTTTACAAGTGTATGTACAGCATCCTAAAGTGCTTAAACATTACATATTATGGCATATTATAATATGTAATGTTCGTATCTACCCGAGTAGCCTTGATGTAGCCGAGGCTATTTGTTTCGAATCAGCCTATATATGATACAAGCCTGCCAGGATATCGCCAAGGGCTGACGCACGTCAGAGGTTGGTTGTCAGCTGCGGATTTACAGCGTCGGGGGAAACAGATCCGGCACGAAGCCCCTAACCGAACCTGCTTTGCAGTAATCTGTCCGTCCAAGCCCCATCTCGAGACCTTCTCATCCGTCGATTTTTTCAGACTTGACGAGCCCTGGCGCCCCTGTATCCCCAAGGCTGGTACAGCTTGTGGTCAGGGTGTCCTGCGCCTCCCTCCCAAGCGAAGAACCTCGATGTTGCCCAACTGCTAACTCTACTCCCCTGATCAGTCTATTCTGTACTTCCTGCCTAGTCTATCTACGGAGCTGTGACTATGTATGAGCTGGAGTCGCAAGAACAGGGTTGAAGCTCCGTCACGTAAGAGACTCTTGTACAGTTGTAACTCGTGAACGTTTTTTTGGAAAACCTTTTGGCAGTGCTAGCTGCGTAAGGCTGTGTGCTTCTTATTCCTAATCGCAATGCCGGTTGCGGACAGCAGTCGTCTCTACGCGCCAACGCGATCCTCCCTCGCCAAGACACGATCAGTCAGTCCGCCCCTGCAGCGACGCCTTTCCCCCACGAGCACCACCAGGAATGGAACTCAGGTCTCCGAGCCAAGTACTGGTTTGGTCCGAGCCTCGTCCCCGAATAGAACCGGTGCGCCCACAGGCAACGGGTTCCCGCGAGCTAGCGGTACAGCCGGCAGAGAGTCTCAGCCGGCGAGCGTAAGAGCGGGCCAGCGCCTTGAGGGCACTGCAGAGACGCGGAGATGGTCCGCAGGGAGCGGTCCTGCGCGCTTGCCATCCCCCTCCTCCCCCCCGACCTCCCCGCGGTTCACTCGGCGCAGGGACGCGTCCTCCCCGCCGTCCTCCCCCGGCCTGGGACCCGGTCGGCCGTCGAGGCGAACGGACCACAGCGGCGATGGCGGGCACGCGGCGCTGGAGAGGCAGGGGCTGGCGGTGCTGCAGGGGCGGCGGCTGTCGGAGTCGAGCTCGAGCATGTCGGTGCTGGGCGTGGTGGAGGAGCACGCGGGCGATACGGGCGAGGGATCGCGGCAGGGGTCGGTGGACGCGCTGGAGGCCATGAGCAACAGCAGCCAGATCAGCGACAGCGGCAGCTACTGCGGCGCCGCCCCCGCCCCCGCCGCCGCCAGGAACCACAATCTCCAGGCCGCGGATGGCGCAAGGCCGCACGCTCTGGTTCTTTACAGACGCCAAGGCGGGAATGTCGCAGGACTTGTCGCTCCTGCTGACGTGGACAGGTATTACGAGAGTGGTCGGCACTTGGGGCAAGTGCTGCGGGGGGGCGCGGGACAGGCGCGCATTGTCAGCCCCGCGGAACTTGCCGTAGCCGCGGAGCTTGCGACCTTGGCGGATTCCGTTACGGATGCGGACGTGTATGCGCCGTCCTCCGCAGCTGCCGCGCTTATGTCCGCCACAGACGGCCTCTCCGCTGCCACCTCTGCTTTCGCCTCCTCCTCTGTTCCCCCGCCGCCCGGCGCGCCTTCCCCAGCATTCTCCTACAGTCTCTCCGCGCAGCGGCCGCTCTCAGCCTCCCGGTGGCCCCCAACGGTTGTTGCGCTCGCGCGCCCGGCTGACGCGGGACTAGGCGGACTGGATGTGAGGGCGCGGCTGGGGCGGACCCTGGGCTATGGAAGCCTTGGTGGAGGGGGAGAGGGGGGGGAAAATTTGGCTGTAGCGGGGTCGGGCATTGAGGGGCAGGGGCGAGCGGCGCAGCAGCAGCAGCAGCAGCCAACTAAGGACGCCAAGGAACTCGCGCGCTCGCTGCTACTGCAGTTGTCGGGCGGCAGAAAGGGGCTGCCGGGGGGAGGCGCGGCGGAGGTGATTGCAGTGCGCAAAGGGAGTGGGGGGGAGTCGGCGCAAAGAAACGAAGCAGCGTTGGGTGCCTCGGCTGCAATGCGCGGGGATGGCTTGAGCGGATCGCATCGCCTGGAGGAGGGCGCATCTGCTACAGCCGCAGGCAGGGGGGGCGTAACTGTCAGGGAGGCGGAGCAGCAGGAGGCTGACTCAATAGTGGCACAACGGAGAGGTTACAACGAGAAGTGGCGCGCTGCTACTGAGATAAATGGCGGTGATGAGATGCCCGATGCGGCTTTCGATGATGCCGTGACGGTGACGACGACAGAGCGCGGGCGGAGCGAGGAGACGCCCAAGTGGAAACAGCCGTGGTCGCAGCCGCGGCCGCGACAGCAGCTGGAGCAGCTGGAGCAGGAGGAAGAACTGCCGCAGCAGCAGCAGCAGGAACAAAGGCAGCAAAGGCAGCAGCAGGAACGGAGACAGCTGCAGGAAGAGAGGCAGGAGGAGGAGGAATGGCAGCAGCAGGAAGAGGAGCGATCCGAGGAGGCGGAAGCGGAGTCAATGGAGGCGGAAGAAGAGGAGCGGAAAGGGATGGGTATGAGCGCAGAGAAGCAGACGCTGCAGCAGAGGCAGCAGAAGCTGCCGTCGCAGTCAAGTCTTCTCCAGCAGCAGCAGCAGCAGGTGGCGGGGGGAGGCAGTCCGGTGTCGACCCTGGATGTGGCGCTGAGCAAGGGGTCCCCCTCAACCGACGCAGGTGAGGAGGAGGGGGGGGTGGCCTTGTACATGCGCACGCACGCAGATGCTGCCAGTGATGGGGACTGGATGGCAGCCGCTGAGAGCCACCGGGTAGAGCCGGGAGCTGGAGTGGGCGAGGAGAGATGCATTGAAGCAGCAGCAGAGGCGGGCGCTGAAGCAGAGCCTGTGTGTGGCGATGAGCCGTGCGTGCCTGCCTCCCACACGCCGCCCCTCTCGCATACCCAAGGTGCCTCACCCCGTCTCATGGTGCCAGGGGCTCGTCACACCATCTTGTCTGCTGCAGTGTGCATAGCTGCTCTTGTGCACTTGCCTCTTAACATCGACCCCTTTCCGTTTGGTCCCGCTGTACCTGCATTTTGACCACCTAAAATTCAACATCCCGCCCTCTTCTCCCTTCCTTCTCTTCTCTCGCTTCGCAGGTGACAAGCCTTCGGACCCCTCCCTGCTCACACCAGCAATTCCTCCTGCCCCTCCCGCCTTCACCACCGCCCCCACCCCGGCACCTGGCGCACTCAATCCACCCCTCGCTGCTCCTCCCCCTCCTCCTCTTCCCCTACCACCACTCGAGTCGCTGAGCACGGTGGACCTGTCCACGCTCGCCTTCGTCCCGCCCACCGCCAGCATGGAGGAGGACATCGAGTACATCCGCTACGTGCTCGTCGCTGCTGGCTTCGCCGCGCTCTCCCTGCCGCCCGCGGCATCCCCCCATGCGCCCATCAGCCCGGCGGTGTTTGAAGTCCTGGAGGCCGAGTTCCTGTCGCTGGATGGCATCATTGTGGACCCAGCCAACCCCCTCGGACCACTCTCGGGATCAGCAGCACCAGGGGCCACGGCAGGGGCTTCCAAAACTTCAGCAGCAGGAGCAACGTCGGATGCATTTTCGGAGAGTGAGAGCCTGCCATCAGATGCAGCACCGGCCTTCTCCCCTCCAGCCCTCCCCACCAATTACCCCGACGAGCGGCGGCAGCGCCGCCTTCTCTTCGATGCTGTGAACGAAGCCCTCGGCCGCCGCCTTTCGCCCTTCCTCCTGCCCTCTCACCCCTGGGAACACCTGCACGTCGTGCGACCCGCTCCCCTGAGGAAGAGGCCAGCAGGGAGACGACTCCTGCAGGAGGTGTGGGCTGAGATCCACTCGTGGGCTGTGCCGATGTCTGATGACGTGTTTGACACCCTTGATGACCTGGCACGCAGGGACTTGTGGAAGGGACTGGACACGTGGATTCCCATGGATGAGGCCGTGGATGGAGAGGTGCCAGATATTGTGTTCTCATTGGAGGAGTTGCTTATGGGGGAGCTGATTGGGGAGATGTGTGCAGATTGGGTGGATGTTGAGAGGAGAAAGCTAAAAGGGAGGGCGGGTGGAAGGGATGGGTTGATGGAAGGAGGGAAGTCGTTGGCTGGGGAGGCTGGAGCCAAGGCAACTGCCGTTACATTGGAAGAGAAGGATGGTGGCACAGCGAGAGGGTCACCACCAGGTGGCAGTGGGAGAGATGGCGGTGGGTCCAGTAGGTCCCTACGATGGCTGCGACTGGGAAGATGAGGAATTTGAGCTGACTAATGACACCAATCCTAACACTGCTGCTGAAGCTAGACTAATCTAGCAGAGGCACTTGATTTTGCGGGAACTGGCAATGCATGCATGCTTCTTACATACCCCTTTCTCTGGCATTGGTGTGCTCGTAATGGGTCAGATCCTTCGTATCTCAACTTTGCCTACTTTCTCTTGAAATGTTGTGCAATAAAAATTTCCAGCTTTGCAGTTCCATGTGTACATACTCTGCCCTCCCAGCTTTGTGATTCGTGCAACTGCTGTGCTGCTCTGTGTTCTGTGCGGCATTGCTGCCTGTTTGCACTGGCTTGCTATTCTTCCTCGACAATATCGAGGTTGTTCAGCCTATCGAGGTTAGCATTCAGCAGTCACACGTGGCATACTAATCGGAGAGCTCACGCACTTACCTCGGTCTCGCAGCTGCTAGAGTAACCTCCGTCGCGCCATTGCACTCGAACGGCGGTGCGAAGGCTACTCCATTCGTCTACCCTAGAAATGGCTGCTACTGCCGCGGCGATTGTTGGTTCTAGACCAGATGGCTATTTGATAGCCATGATCGCAGATGAGGTAGGGAGGACTTGACTCGCGTTCCTTCTCACTATAATGGCAGCGTCTTTTTCGTCACACTGGGTTCGCGTAAGGGGGTGCGAGATAACGGCACATGCACTTTCTTCCGTGCGTATTTGCCTTGACGCGCACAGGACACGATAACGGGCTTCCTGCTGGCCGGAGTGGGCCACATGGACGTGCGGCGACGGAAGAACTACCTCGTCGTCGACTCCAGTGAGCCTTTTCGACTTTCCGCTGGCTAAGCTTCAGTTTCTTGTTTCGATCTGGCGCTGATCAGGAGGTGCTGCTGCGTTCCGGTGTTTCAGAAACTCCTGTTCGGCAGATCGAGGAGGCGTTTAAGGAGTTCAGCAACAGGGAGGACGTGGCCGTCATTCTCATCAGCCAATATGTGCGTCATCTCGTCATCTCTGCCTGCATGGATGTCACGCACGCACTATCATTCATCAATCGCCTGCTTTCGAGTATCTGCCGTTATCTCGCATCTGCTGTGATTCCCATCAATCCCGCGACTCAATCCCCGTCTCGTTGCCGTCCAGATCGCCAACATGATCCGCTACAGCATCGACAGCTACAACAAGCCCATCCCTGCCGTCCTGGAGATCCCCAGCAAGGAGCATCCGTACGACCCCAACCAGGACTCCATTCTGTCCCGCGTCAAGCACATGTTCGCCTCCTCTGAGTCCGTCTCTGACTCCAGGGTGTGACATGGCTCCCTGCCATGGCCCTCACACCCCACCTGAGAATGGTTCCCCTGGTCAGCAAACTCTGTCCTAGTCAGCCTGAAACCACCTACTGTAATGCAGTCTGCACAGCTTATCCTGTACACACGCTGTGTGCAGGTTTCTGGACGATATTCCCATCTGCTAGTTGCTTACTGATTTGTTGCTCAACCGGTTCAGTTGATGTGTCTGCGGTGAAGAAGCCTGTACATTATTCCATAGATACATTCCATATCAATTGTCCTCTGTGAGCTGCCAAAGCAAGACAAGCCTCGGAAACAGGAAAGGGTGAAGACAAATTGAAGGAGCCACTGTTCACATGTCAGGTGTGGCTTCTTCTGTGACTATACTGAGTGTGACTGTCTTGCCATGGGCTCTCCTGACCACCACAGGCATCTTCGCGCCCACCTTGTCTCCCAGCAAGTCCAGCACCTGGCGGGACGACGCCACTGGCTGCCCGGCAAACTCCACAATCACGTCACCTGGCTGCAGCCCGCCCTTTGCTGCAGGCGAACCGGGAATTACCTGGGGGACGGAGATGCAAGAGGCACGAGGAGAAAGATACATACGAGGGTTGAGAAATCCCAAGGAACACGCAACATGCAGGAGTATGACGGGCAGAGGATCCAGCAGCAGGGGTCTCGCAGCTAAGGACTTGCCCCACAGACATCATCTGAGTGGTAACAAACGCCACCTGAGACCACCTGGCGCCTGAAGCAACAAGCTACCTGAGGGACGAGAATGCCTGCAGTGACGGCAGGGAAGGAGGGGTCTCTGTCCCTCAGCTGCTCTATGATGGACGCGTTGAGCTCGAGCATCTTGATGCCCACAAATGGCCGCACCACACGCCTGCCACAGGGGGTTGAGACGAGGGGGAGAGGGGGGACAAGAGTCAAACGGTGGGAAGGACAAGCCGAGACGGGCAAGATGACCCCGTCCGCTTTTCCATCCCCGTTCCCCATTCAACTGCTACTTTTGTGATTCACCTTTCACGTCTTCCCCCCACCTCTTCTCATCCCTCTCTCCTTCTTCCCCCCCCCTCACTCCCCCCGGCCCCCCCACCCCGTGTTCACCCCTCTGACTGACCCGTGGCGCGATAGCTGGTCGAGGATGTGCACGGCGGAGTCGATGGGGATGGCGAAGCTGACCCCGTCCGCCGCCAGCGCCTTCATGTTGTTGATGCCCACCACCTCCCCGTCCAAATTCACCAGCGGGCCCCCGCTGTTGCCCTGCTCACAGAGACTCAGGAGATGTGGGGGCGGGTTGGAAGGGTGAACGCGTGGCATGGCATGCTGCATTGCAACATGAGTGGCGCGACGTTATGCATGCATGTTCACTTGGACCTCGTGTTCACACCACACTCATATCCACACCGCATTCAAGCATGTTCACACCGCATTGATGGCTGCATCTGTCTGGATGTAATCCATCCGCCCCCCCCTCAGGCCCAGCTCTGTGCCCTTGCGGTCCACACAGCTGACAGGCACAAGGAAGGGACAAAGGGGGCGCAGCAAAGATATCCACAAAACGCCATGTAAGGATGCAACTTTCTGCCAAGAAATGCTGCTTCTTCTCAATTTCTGCCAGTCCCGTTTCTGCATCAATGTACAACCATCCTGGCGCCTCCAGGCTTCTCACCAGCATGCCAGGAGCCTGAGAATCCACCTGCGAGTGCAGCACGCTGCTACCAGCAGCGCGTGAGGGCCCGCCCACCTGACGATGCCAGCAGTGACGGTGTTGGAGAGGTGCAGCGGCGACCCCAGCGCCACCACCCAGTCCCCAGGGCGCAACGCCTTGGACGACCCCAGCTTCACCACCGGCAGGGGCGAGGGCGCTGACACCTGCGGCAGGTGCACAGGAGAGGAGGACGCAGGGCAGAGAAGCCAGTGGTGGAGACAGCTACGATGATGTGCGAACGGTGGTGTGAGTTTCAACGGAGAAGACCAGGGGGGTGGAAGTGGGGGGGAAGAGAGAGGCGTGAGAGACACTGCAACTACCTTGACGAGTGCGATGTCGGAGAGCGAGTCAAAGCTGAGCACGTGGCCATCGAAGGTGCGTCCGTCCTGGAGCGTCACCTGCAGCTGAAGGATGGGAGGGCAGGCATTCGAGCAGAGACGGAGTGGAGGAAGGTCAGCACGCAGTAAGTTCAAACTTCACACACACCCTACAGGGACTCTAACAATCAGTTATCCTCGCAACACTGTATCCCTGAGAACACCAGCCGGGGCGGTCCTAGAGCGGCAGGAAGCACTTTGATGGGTGGCAGGGAGCGGTCCTACTGCGGTAGGGGGCAGAGCACATTTATGGGCGGCAGGGGGCGGTACTAGAGCGGCAAGGAGAACTTGTATGGGCGACAGGGAGCAGTCCTTAAGTGGGCAGGGGACGGTCAGGAAGCACATTTATGGGCCACAGGGGGCGGTCCTAGAGCATCAAGGGGCACGTTTATGGGCGGCAGGGAGCGGTCCTTGTGTAGCGGCAGGAGGCAGTCCTAGAACGGCAGGGGGCGGTCGTGCAGCAGCAGGGAGCACATTTATGGGCCGCAGGGGGCGGTCCTAGACCTGCAGGGGGCGGTCCTAGACCTGCAGGGGGCGGTCCTAGACCTGCAGGGGGGGGTCCTAGACCTGTAGGGGGCGGTCCTAGACCTGCAGGGGGGGGTCCTAGACCTGTAGGGGGCGGTCCTAGACCTGCAGGGGGCGGTCCTAGACCTGCAGGAGGGGGTCCTAGACCTGTAGGGGGCGGTCCTAGACCTGTAGGGGGGGGTCCCAGAGCGGCAGGGGGCACATGCATGGGCGGCAGGGGGGGGGTCCTAGAGCGGCTGGGGGCAGATTTAAGGGCGGCAGGGAGGGGTTTTAGGGCGGCAGGGGGTTGTCCTACAGCTCAACTTGTCCCCAGCCCCTCTCCACCTTGCCCCCAGCCCCTCTCCACCTTGCCCCCAGCGCCTCTCACCTTGGCACGAGAGCTCCAGTAGGGCGCGGAGGCGGCGGTGGGGTCGACCATCTCGGCCACCACGTGCGCATTGGTGAGGATGAGCCCGTCCGCCCGGATGATGGCGCCCGACCCCATCGCCTGCCCGCTGAACATGCCGCGCCCTGGGGGGGGAGAAAGGGGGAGGAGGTTCAGGCATGCGCGGCAGTATATTGCACATGTGGGCGCACATACACGGCCGACCCCATGGCCTGCCCGCTGAACATGCCCCGCCCTGGGGGGGAGAGAAGGGGGGGCAGGTATGCGGGACACTACATTGCACATACGTGCACACATACACTCCTGACCCCATCGCCTGCCCGCTGAACATGTCACGCCCTGGCAGAGGGGGGGGGGGGGGGGGGGGGGGGTAGAGAAGATGGTGCAGGAGAAAGGTCGCCGGCCACGGATGCATGATGGCACATACGCTCTCCCACACACGCACTGCCGACTCACCCACACTGACTGTCAGGTTCACCACAGCCGGAGCTGCCCTCGCAGCCGCATCAGCAATGGCATGTCGAGACAAGCAATTCCGCCCGCACGTCCCACTATCGCCATCGCCACCTGCATCCCCCTTCCCTCTCCCAGCCTCCTCCTCCCCTAGCACCGTCCCTTCTGCCCTCCTTCCTCCACTTCCCGCCTCCTTTCCACTCTCACCTTCCCTCTCCCGCTCTCCTTTCCCATTCCCAAGCGCTTCCCCCCCTTCCCCCTGCCCCTCCGCCTTCCCCCCAGGTTCCGCTTCCCCCGGCAGCAGCCGCTTGATCCCCTCGACCACGCTGCGGGGCGCGGGGAGGGACCCATGCGGGGGGGCCGCGGACAGAGGCGGGGACTCAGGGACGGGGGAGGGGATAGCGGACGGGGAGGCATGGGAGGTGAGGGCCAGGCGGGGGATGGGCTGTACGGAGCACGGGGACGCTCCAAGAGGCAGGGTGGCGCGGCGGGAGTATGGGGGGACGGAGCGAGCAGGTCCATGGAACGGAGAGGCGGGCTCGGGACCACCGAATCGTGCGCCGAGAGCGGATGAAAGAGGAAGGCGATGAAGGCGGGGGGAGGACGGCGCTTGCGCATCGTGAACGGAATGAAGAGCAGCCGCCGCCGTCGCTCCGCCTGCCAGGGCGCCGACGAGCGCGGGGAAGAGCCAGGAAAATCGGCGCGGCGATGCGGAGGAGGAGGATAAGGACGACGCTGGCGCCACTGGCTGGTTGAAGCATCGGTTTCCCGCCCCCGCAGCCTGTAGCGGAGCTACTCTTTCCGCGGCTCCCCCCGCAAACGCTCCCTGCACGGCGGGTACCCGCTTGGCGACGTTTATTCGCCGCGACATGAATCGTGAGAACAGGTACGACGTCATGATTCAAGACGCGCGATAACCGCCGCGATTAGCGCTGGTAGCTTCGGCTTGACTTCAAAGTAGCCGCATCGCGGAAGCACTGGTGGCACGTGGAGCGATTCTTGGTAGACACACGATGGAAGCAGGCTGATGACTGCTCCTGGCTGCGTCATCTGTACGCCACTCTGCCCTCGCTACTATAGGCCCCATGATCCGCTACTACTACAACTCTATTTAAATAATTGTCTATAACTTTATACCAACTGATTCAACTGTACCTTAACGAAGCTAACCATTGAAGCCAGGGTCACCCATGCTTCTGGGAAAATTTTAGTGAAAAACAAGAGGTGAAGAAATCGTCTTAGGGCTGCGGAGCACTATAATACAAAAATAGTGATAAAATATTCAATTCAAATCTTTCTTTTAAAAAAAAGATATCTCTATACATTAGTTTGTTTTCTTACCATGTGTTGGAAATACCTCGAAGACTTAGCATTTCTGAATTGTAACACTACACTCGAGGAAAGTCGTATCGGGTACGCGAATCAACGGATGTTACACGAAGAGGTTGGACGAAAGAATACGAAAGGGCGAAGGGACTCGAAGGGTCGCAACCGGAGGTTGCGATTGACTGTTACGACTACAAGGGTGGTAACCGAACCGACAATCGAGTCGCTGTGCGACTCGATAACCGTTCCTTCAACTGTATTCTACAACTGCTTCATCTTTTATTTTCTATATATTGATGTATGCTTGTTCCTTTTAATCACTCACTTGCTCTCACATTCTAGTGCAAGGGTTCAACTACTCAACACTTCCGCTGCACTACTCAAGCGTTTTGTACAAGTGGGACTTAGTCTCTGAAAAGATCCTAAGGCTTTTATCAGCCCAACATGGTATGAGAGCTGGTCAGAGACCAAACTCCCATCGACAACATCCTATCTACAGTCAGCATATCAAAAGCTTCATCGATCACAAGACATGGACAACAAGGGCAAGAAGATCTCTACGGGCTCACCCAGAGCCCAAACCACTCAACCCGGCACTTCTGGACTTCACACCTCTGGATTGCAAACCGAGACCGGCGCTGCTCAAGAAACAACAAGAAGAGTACCAGAAATGGTGACCCCTTCACCCTCTTCACGTGTGGACCCGAACCTTATGGAAAGGTTCTTCAGCTTCATGTCGCACTTCGACCTGCGCATTCAATACAGAGCAATGGAGGAAATATGGGGTTAGCACCGATGGGCCTCGACAACTCATCATTCGGGCGGCACAACCAGGCGCCTATCTTTGTGCCTTATCACTCTTCACCAGGGACGTTCGAGTTCATGCCGCCCCGTGCTCAACCGACAGCAGCTGCATCACAGCAAACACCAAACAAGATATTGAGTCTCCAGGCGCAGTTTTCACATGTGATCAAACTGCAGACATCTTCACCATTCAACGAGCACGACTTCTTTACCTGGAGCTTTGAGTTCGAGCTAACTGATGGAGGCCGCGCACCTCTTGGGATACTTCAACGGGTCCCTGCCATTTCCAAGCAATGGCACTGCAAAGGGGCAGGAAATCTTCACCTATCAGTCGCTACTGGCGTACACAGTTCTCCTGCGAAACCTGTCACCACAAGAGCAATAGAGCATCCGAACGTATCGGAGCTACGGAAACTCGGCGGAGCTCGCATGGCATCATCTGAAATGTCTCTATCAAGCAAACGACAGTGTGACATAAAGCAGACTCATGCAGCAGTTGACAACAATACAAATGAAGACCGAGGAAAAGGCGATGCAGTATATGAGTTACTGCCAGACACTTCGCGACCGCCTGCTTCGGTGCGGAGGCACAATCACTAAAGAAAGCTTCGTAACACTTGTTCTCGCCGGGCTCGGACCAGAATGGAGAACCACCCGCTAGCTTCTTCGCGCCCATGGACGAATTTCCGAGATGCATCTCTGCGCCGAGCTTCATGCTGAACAACAAGAGATGGACCTGTTTGAAGAAAGACAACCACGAAGCAAGCAACAACCGTTAGTCTTCTACACTCAAAGAAGGAACGACAACAGCCACAATCGACGCGACAAGCAGAACCGACATGACACCAGAGGTCTCACCATCGTACCGCCGTTCTGCCACAATTGTCAGACATCCGGACACTCCAAGGTCAACTGCACACGCCCTCGAGTTTATCGTCCAGCAGATCCGCAAGTCGCCTCCACCCAAGAGAATCCGCCAAGCCGTTCCTCTACACATGCACAAGGCGCACCGAATATCATTAATTGCATGGTACGCATCGACAACTGCACACCCGGGTCACCACCCACTTACGCTCCAGACGAAGAAGAACTGCCGCCGCCGCGCTCACAAGGTCTTCAGGTCAACCCCACGTATGCTGCAGTCGCCAACGCCGAACCCACTGGCCGAAACACCTGGTTTCTGGACAGTTGCTGCGGTCAACACATGTGTTCCTCGTGGGGCTTCGTGCAACAAGAACGACGCCTCAACCGCGACGTCATCATCACCGTCGCCAATAATGAGAACCTGAAAACAAACAGACAAGGAGTCGTTCAGCTTCAGTCAATGGAGGCAAACGTCATACTACAACTCAACAAAGTTCTCATCGTCGACAACATGGGATACAATTTACTAAGCGTCAGCCAGTTAATGGCGAAAGGAAGTCACCTGGAATGCGACTCGGACGTTAATGTCACAGGATCGAATGTGTCGAGGACAGGTTGCACTATCGATCAGTACAAGGCGCTTTTATACTTCCAGAGTATATCAGGTAACCAGGTTTATCTTATCCTAAGGGAATAGACCCTTGTAGAAGATAGAATCACCCTGCGTATAGCCACGCGAGGCTATTGGCTTTAAGGGATTACGGCAGGATTACGCCAGATAGCGCACTAGTACATTCCAAGCCTGGTCGGTGATATAATTATAATAGCAGGATCACCCAAAGGTTAATGGAAAATGGAGAATAGGAAATCAAATGAGATGGGATAAAAAGAGAAAGGAAAGAGGAAGGAAATAAGAAAAGGGACAAGTGGTGTAACGGGGTCGTACTCTTATAGTCAACGAGTTTCGTCTTTATCACAGGAAGGGCGGCCTCTTCATCGGTCGCGCTCTCCTGAAGTCGGGCATCTTCGTGCTGGACTTCGTCCCCGACCGCGGTACTGCAGACAGCGACAACATCATGTCGTTCGCCGCCTGGACGCAACCGCCCGATCTTGACCCTAACTTTAGCCCAGGCGGGTTCTAGTACTCCAACACCGTCCTTGCAGCAGAGAGAACACGAGCATTAGCAGTCATTCGACAAGAACAACAAGTACCAACAAATATCCCTTCATGGACATCACCTGTAGTAGCAGCAGAAGAACCCAGCCATGCGCCATCACCAGCAATCCGAGGACCACCAACCAAAGCAGATCAGCTCATGCCCATCACCCGAGGAGTCTGCCGCAGTCCCGCTATGGTGGTCGCGTTCTTCTCCAATGCCAACCTGTACCAGCGTTCTCTCGGCCATCGCGCTCCCGACGACATCTGGCATCAACGTCTCGGACACCCTGCAACAATACAAGCCGGAGTATTAGAAAAAGACGCTCTCCTCACAACGAACGATCACGAGCTTCGACGACCCCGCACACGATGCTTCACGTGCCCCGAAGCTGATCTTCCCCATCAACCTTTCCCGTCGCACCACAATCCAAGCGCACCTGCATACGCACCGATGGAAAAGGTTTACAGCGATATTTTGAATATGCCTCGAGACGACAGTGAAGCAGAGTACAACTACGTTATCACGTTCATCGACGTAGCAACACGATATGTCTGGCACTTCAACATCAAGACTCGTGACCAAGCGTTTGAAGCCTTCACGACGTGGCTCCCCATCGCTGAACGAGAATCGGGCTCCCAACTCAAGAGTTTCCAATCAGACGGGGCACTGGAGTATCAGTCACAAAGGTTCAGGAGCTACTTGGTGGAAAGAGGCATCAAACGCCTGGTGTCCCTGCCCTACGCCCACCAGCAGCAAGGGGTCGTAGAGAGGATGAACCGCACCTTGCAGACGACGATGCGGAAGCTGCTCCTGGGGATGAGACTGCCCAACACCCTTTGGCCTGACGCGATGACGCATGCAGTCCACCTCCACAACTTGCTGTCCTCGTCATCACTTCCCAACAGCGCTTCACCACACCTGCTATGGACAGGAAAACATGGCAGCATATTACTTCGAGTCTTCGGCTGCATGGTACAGTACAGACCCCACACAGCTCAAGCAGGACGATTTTCTCAACGAGCACGGTGGGGACTACACCTCGGCATCGCAAAACATTTTCACGCGTGGAAACTTCGCGACATCCAGGACAAAACCACCGTGGCCTCACGTGATGTGATTTTCTACTAGAGACTGACACTGCAGCATTACTTGGACAACGTCGCCAACACCGCAGACCCCACCGACGGCTTCGAGGGACATCGGTCCTTCGCCGACCGTGCTGCCGAAGCTGACGTAGCAGAAGAAGACGTACCTGAAGCCTCGGAAGCTGCCGGACCACTCCCTTACTGCTCCGTGCCCGTTCCACTCGACGACGACAACCCTCTCAATAGTAACAACCTCGCTGACACCTACTACCACTTCGCTGACCAGGGCTACAGTACACCACAACCGGTTGACACAAATGTTTCTGAATGCATCGGCCCGAATTTCTTACCTGACCCCGAAGATGGCGACGAAGCATCTTATCCCGGGGATGAAAATTCATCTCGACACACACCCGGGCCTGCAGATACTTGGATTATGGGTCGCCGTCCAGAGCCCACCGCCGCTGTCTCCGCGCAAGCCAACGACTCTGTCGCAGGCTCAGGGGGGGGAACACAAGGTGAAATGGAAGGAAGCAATGGAAGAAGAATTGAAGGCCCTGCAAGACCGAAACACATGGAAACTAGTCCCTGCAACAAAGACCAACGGGCGGAATGTGCTCTCGGGGAAATGGGTGTACCGAATCAAGACTAATGCGGATGGCTCCATCAACCGCTTCAAAGCCGTCGTACGTGGATTCGATCAGTGATACGGAACCGACTACACGGAGACATTCGCCCCAGTCTCCCGACATACCTCCCTGCGCATTCTACTCGCCGTCGC